ACATATGTAATATGTAATTATAATATTCCTACTAACCGATATTCAAATTATCAATGACAGATCTCGCTTTTTCCATATGTGGTCACATGATAAAATGTACAGATTGCATTTTAAATCTACTCCAAGTAGATTTATGTATGTCGATGTAGCTACTTCTTCAGTATACAAAATAAACTTATTAAATTCACACAAAATAGTCCAAAGGGCCAAAAACATTATCGCTGCCACTTAAAATATAATTAAGGTATGGCTGCATTAGTAATGTTAACAGCATCTGTACTTTTACTACTGTTTAACTATACCTGCCTTGAATGTTCAGATAAAGCACAAAAGCACTTCCAATATCAGTAATTGCTTTTCACAACTTTAAATGCATCCATTTAATTAATTTAATGCTGAAATTAACACGAAACAAAAATACTCGTAATGAATGGTCAAGATTTTGTACCTTTTCTCTCTGAAACAGCATTTGCCTTGACTGAAGGTCTTCCAAATATTATGGAGTCTTGGGCTTAATAAGTACGTTCAGTCTTCGCAGTCGTCTTACGCTTCCCCACTCATCTGTCCGCCGATATGTCTATCGATGTGTCTGCCGGATTATTGTTATTTTATATTTTGTTTTGTTAGCTTTTATGATTATTCTATGTTGTTTTATTAGTAAAATTTTATAATTTAACAGCAGAAGATATTTTTTGTTACGAATTATTTTTTTAGTATCTAATGAGTTTATTGGGAAAAATACTAATCAGCCATGATACCACAAAAAACGAAACGATACGGAGCATTTGTCTTGTACGTAATTTAAACGCTACTTAAGATACATTTTTTCAACTATTGTATTTAAGTATTTAATAATTTTATGTTATTTTCATGAATTAATTTATGAGCTTATGTCTTATGTTAAGTATTTACTGAGATCAAGTCAATGACAAATTTGTTTATTTATTTTGATTTGCTATTAATTGCTTTGGTTTGCTTATAAGATGGATATGCAGCATGACAAAGAGTGTGTAATAAGCGCATGTGAGGCTAATGGCCCCTAAATACTTCCCATAGATTTATTATGGTTACGTGTAATTATATATTAATTTACTCTTTTAATGGCTATTTTAATATCGATTTTAGCAATCAGTTGCAGTGATTTTGGTGTTATCAGTGTGAACGCTTAATCCAACAATTAAAATATAAGTTTCAATAAATATGTGCTTTCAAAAGTGATTTAAACGTAACCGTATGTTTACAGACCGGAGGAGAATTCAAACTTATTTACTTTTAAGACTACCCAGCAAGCTATATGCAATTAATGTACTATATTTTTTAAATGGTGGTTGTGTAAATAACTAAACCAAGAAGAGAGTAGTAGTGTTTGTTGTAGTTCTTAGTATTTCATCGTCCAATGGTAATAATGGGAAGTACTTGGTTGTTGTGGACCAGTAATTCCAGAGCGTAGACCCGACTGTTTCCAAACAGAAGCGTACGCAGTTTAAGTTTTTGTTATTGAAATAAATAACTATATAGATGATATGTACTCTAAACTAAATTGGATTAGACTAAAGAGATGATTCCATGTCATAAATATGTTGAACATTTCTTTCATTTGTCTTTGCTTTGAAAATTGTAAAAAGAATTTATTGTGATGATAATAAGGGAAGCCTTTAAAGAATAAACCAATTCGTAAATTTACTCAAAGTACATTTGATTAAGTTCTAGTAATAGATATAATAAAGGATGATTTCTCTTCTTACTGAAGTAATCTTCTAAAATTATTCTAGAAAGTTTTCATGAGATTGCAACATGCAGAAGTATATTTAAATTTTACTGTTATCGAAATTGAACAAGTTTTACGTTTTTTGCTAAAATTGAATATTTGCACATAACTAATAATTTAATTGAAAGGGACTTACAGATTAAAAACCAAAAATAAAATAATATAATATGATAATTTTTTTCTCATAATAGATCGATTACCGCTAGATCTTCTGCAAGAGCCGTGTGACAGGAAATTCTCGTTGCGCTACTTAAAATCAGAAAAAGATACTTCAATGCTGGAAATTTAGTTATGTTATTGTATACTAAATTTTTTAAAATGTTGATTGATGTATCAATCGATGATATTCATCGACACTCTAGTATATTATTTTCACTGTAGACAATGACATTTTGTTATCGACGTATTTGTATATCTGTTAAATTCGGAAAGGATTTCAAGCTAATATCACCTTTCCTATGTCTATGTGTTTCTTGTAGATCGTGGCAGAACAAAAATTTCAATAAGGTAGTAAGTCCATTCTGAAAGTCAGGCTGAATCAATTTAATAATTGATCGTTTTATTTATGTCATGGCAATTTATGATCTTGGCGTTATCAGTAAAGTAACTTAATTTGTAATAAAACGGATTTTATTCAATTTCAATAATATTAGCATAATTTTATCATTTTATTTGGATTATTATTTATTGTATTTAAAATAAATTAATCTCAACTAAGATGCTTTCTTCTGGCTTCATGAAGAAAGTCATCACTTTCCTTTTCCGCTATTGTGTCAAAAATTTTCTTTGTATCGATTTCAATAAAAACTATGTCTTTAAAGATAGAAATGTTCAATTTATTAAAAATTACTACAAATAATGAAAATTTTATTGTTCTCCTTCGAAAGAAAGTTTCTTGCATGTTCCCAAAAAACGAAAAACTTAGAAAACAAACTTGCGATCGACGCGAGCCGCCATAATTGTATGTAAAATATTTTTTGATGTCTTTGCATATGAATGACATTCCTAATAAGACTGAAAGAATATTGATAAGATACAAAAAAAAAATGACAAAAAAAATAAAATAAAACAAAATAAATAAAAAAATTCCAATAGACACAAAATACAAGTGAATTCCAATAAAATATTTGACGGCCACTTGGCCTCATTTTGCCATTAATTTGTGGTTTTATTCACATTATCCATTTTCATTGTCTTGGATCGTTTAGAGTTTCTGTTCTTTTGTTTACAGACTAAGAATGATTTCGAACATGAAGGAAATATTTTGCATATTTATGTAAATATATTAAATTAACTTTAATCACGTTCAAATTAATTTTGAAAAATTTTTTAAAAATGGTGCAAAGCATGAAAAATATTTTTTATCTGTGAAAACTGCAAACAATTAAGACGCCCACATTGCGAAATTTATTCGAAACTTTTGATTTGGTACAAGCATTCGCATATCACACAGTATCAAAAATTGTTTATAATTTATTTGACAAATATTAACTCTTTAAATTCGGTTTATTAACAAATTTTGCATATCTTAAAATTCCGGTATATCGGCATGCTTTGCACCAGGTGATGTAATCCATAGCGCTTAAGTGTGGAGATTGAAAGATATGTCGATAATGTTTCTGCAGTGGTAAGGAAATTACGGTAACTGATTGATCAGCTATGAATTTATGAAGTTACGAAATTGATTATATCAAATTTTAAGCATAAATTACTTCAATGAATAGACTAAAGTCAAATCAACAGCGGTAGATATTAGTTTTAATGAATTTTATACTTTAATAATATCAGTTTTATAAGGGATAAAGGATAGTAACGCTTTTAATAGATCTTAATAGATGTGTTTTACGGATGTGGTTAAATGGGTTTATTCCAGTTTATTCCTATCATAGAGTAAATTTAAGTAATAATATAGAATATAACAAAAAGTATCTTCTATATTCAAACTGATATGGTGTTTTGTCACATCGAACAGCTCCATCTTGTTAAGATGGAGATGAGTTTAGATGATTTAACATCCATTCCACACTAGCGATAAAAACTGGATTCAGGTTTATTTTATTATGATAGTACCTCGTGCTAGAGTGCCCTGTCAGATACCAGGTAATGTTTCTGATATACGCCTTACCCAGTTCTAGAAGTTTATTTGAGATTTCTTTGGATGAATTAATGAGTCTCTTAGTTTGTCTTAGCTATATACAGTTCATTCTGTGCTTTTTAAATGGTTTCGCACCAGAATACAGAGTGGCCTGAAACCCTTCACAACGTAATAAGGTTGCTTTGCCTGAATTTATTAAGACGCGATGGACAGTTGTACATATTCCATAAATAAGTATTTACAGAATTTAAAGCCAGTATTATCGCTTGGCTGATAGATATTATGGTGTTTGTCGCTTTACTGGTCTTCTTTCTCAGACGTTAATGACGTATGATACAGTTATTGTTGGGAAAATCGTATTATTTATATATATTTGTAATATTTTATATATAATATAAAGTACTGCTGCGTATTCTATATATAAACATAATTCATATATGGATATGACTTATTCATTTTATATGAAAGTAAATGAATCTGTCAATTAATTACTTATTGATTATATTCATGTTAAATATTGATTTTGATGATTAATGTTATACAAGTACATTTTTACCTTATTTTATAATATAACTCAGTCAGTTAAAAGCATTCAAAGTAGAAAAGCATTGTCAAACAGACATATATAATAGTCTTAATTCTTTAGTGTTCCCACTCTTAACAAAGTGTAAGGAAAGGCAAGCCCTCTTTTGTAAGTTCTCTTGAATTTAAACAATATCCATAAAAAGTTACAATGTCAACATGAAGAAGCAACTGAAAATAATTGAACAAATGAAGAAGAATTCTGTATGTGACGAACACTTAAGCAACTGACATGGAATACTTAATAATTCTCAATGTACTTAGGCGTCTTAACTCAGAAATTTAACATAAAAACTGGCGAGTACCACGCAAAACTGATGTGTACATGACAAATTACATGAGCAGATTCACTGAAGATACCTCAAAACGTAATCTTCCGTGCCTACACTCATCCATCATAAAATGAGACGTTAAGCTTCACGCATGCTAATGATTCGAGCCTTAAATGCACAAACTCTGCTTTTGGGTTTGAAATATAATAACGAATCTCCTTTTATTTTGTTTTTCTTTAATAAAAATATTGAATATCTTTGCATATAAAAATCTTGTATTCACCTTCTGCTTCCCTTTATTGCAATTAATCTGTAAAATAATTTTTTGTCACGAGTATTCCAATATTTCAAGTGGAGAACGTCATTAAAACCGTAGCACGTCTGGAAAACGCCGTTTTGCACTCAACCGTTTTGGCTTTAATTAACCGTTAAGACTGCGTACCAATTCCACGTTTTTGGCAAAGGCACAATTTCTCCTTTGCAGGTGAGACACTGCAGTGAATCGAAATTTCTTACTGGAGAATTTGAAATCGTTAAGTAGACGATAGCGCGACTCACCGAAACCCCAACAACCGAAAAGCGCAAAGTTTGCTACGAAACTGTGGTTGCCGATGAACAGTTTTAATGAAACGACCTCAAACACTGAAGAAGTTCGAACTGGTTCGACGACGGTTGTATACAACATGTGCGAGTTGTTATTTTGTTTGACGGTTGAGTTTTGTTTTTGTTTTTAATTAGTCTCTAGAAAAACGAAACGTAAGAAGATAATACAACTATTAATGATAAAAATAAACAAAAAATTAATTAATTAAGACTATAAAATTAAAGAATAATTATAAAAATTATTTTATATTGAATAAATTTTACTTTATAATAATTAAATATGATGATGAAATATTTAAACTAAAATGTAATTAAAACGGATTTGGGAAAAAAATGTGCATAAAATGGCCATTAATGCTACTTACAGACATCTGGGTTCTTAGCGATACCTGTTGGAGATGTAACACTCCTTAAGAACTGCGAATCCAATTAGTGCGGGACTTCGTTAGTTACCAATGTAGACCTATTGCCCAATTTTTTTAATATATTTAGACGATCTTTCTGATTTTCTGTTGAGTTACCTGAAATATTTTAAATCCCTTACATTGTAGCATTAAATCATATCAATACGCGTAAAATATATTCTAGGGTTTCCTTTGGCCAGACATAATTCATTTCCCGCACTTGTCGGTTTTATTCAAATCCATCTTCTGGTCTAGTGTCCTTGAGAGACAATTTTACGATAGTGCGCTAAACGAAAGCAAAATTGCTTGATCCGTTGGATCACCGTTGGGAGACTTGCAAATAGTTTTAGTATTTAAGCTTCAACAAAGCCACTGCTAACTTTTTTGTTATAAGGTATTAATTTGATTATGAATTTTGCTGCCTAAGGAATTTTATATATTGCATTTTACGAAAATTTTATTTAATTTTTAAATAACAATTTTAACACAATCACAGATGATTGGTTTCGATGTCTCATCGTCATTATTGTTAACATTTTGCAACAAATACAGCTTCAATCTTATAATATATAATCGATTATAAAATATTATTGAATTTTTTGTTTTTATAAATTGCATCAAATTGTGAAAATGTAAGTGATTTGCTGTGACTATAATTGTTAATATTCATTGTTTGATTTCTGACTTTAAGCATGCTTGGCGATTTAGTAACTTGGGCCAGTTGGGTTAACACCGGTCAGGTAATGTCGCGCCATATGAAGGCAATTAAGCACGAAGTTGCACAATCGCAGTTCAAACTACACCACAAAAAACGCAAAAAACGCAAAAAACGCATGCATACTCACGTACATGCCGCCAACGGCCACATCAACAGTACGGCTAGTACGGTACGTAACTGAGGTAATGTAAGTTGGGTGAGGTTAGCATTATTAGCACAGAGGTTCTCTTCATTACAAATCAGAGGTCCGACGATCGTTTGGTTGGTTGATCGCATAGCCATAGCTGACGTACGCTCCGCGCATTTGTTAATGAGCTGCCGTAGCTTTTTGCTGCTGTCCATATTTGTTAAATTGGTCAAATTTCAGTAATGAAAAAACTAAATCGCAATTGTACAAAAAATAATTAAAGACTAATATTTACAACAACAAATACAGAAACACAACAAAAACTATTGGAAATTCAGAATATTAAAGAGTGTGAACGCACGAAAATTCCATCCATTAAACGTTAATGTTTAATGCAGGCCTTCGCACACTTTGAGAAATTACTTTCAATTTATTTGGATTTCATTAATTTTATTACATATTTAATGTGTTTTAATTAAATTTGTAGTTATTAAACAATTTTGAAATTCGTAATCGTACTATGAAGGTCTCGCCTATTTGACTAAAACCATTTCCTTAGATATCCACAAAACAAAGAGTAGTAAAAGTCTGTAATTAACGCTTCTTGGACTGGGATCGCGTAAAAATGTTTGCTGAAAAAAGAGATTAAAAAAGTAGATCTTGACAGAAAACAGTTTGAGTAAGCAGATGTATCAAACCAAAATGAACGGTAAGATTAATCACCTGCAGCAGCAGCGGAACCTGGACGCAGGTCACACCAATGGAAGTCTTAAATGGCTAATAGAGATCCTACCTCGAAGTAATACTAACGTAGTTCCGGGGTGGTTTAGACCGTACGAGTCGGGCACTCATTCTCTTTGCCGTAAAAAAAAACGCTTCTCTGGACAGTAAAGTATAAATTTTGTTTATTATTTTTAATTATATTAAATACATAATTAAAGTTATAGCTTATATGCAAATATGTTTAGTAATAAAAAGTGATATTTTAATTTTCGATTTTTTTGTAAACTTAGTCTAGGAAGACTAATTTTCTGAAAAAACTCGGTAGTATATTTAAATAACGCCCAAAGTTAAGTTCAGTAACAGTGACCCTAATTAAGCATTTTTACGAAGCATATTTCCTACGTGCTATATATTTTCGGTAGATCTCTAAAATGCTCCAACTCATTTTAAAATGAATTTGCACACAATTAACCTTAAATAAGATTATGTCATCACCAGTTTGAATATCCAGCCACAAATTACTAGTTTGGAGCACTGCATCAACGAATCCGAAATGAGAAAGAAATTAAATTTATTTATAAACCGTCAAAAAAGTTTGTGCGGTGAAAAGTTGAGATACATTTTTAACCAAAGATGCGGCGCCAACTCTCGGCCTCAATTGAATTGTGAAGAGAAAATTAAATAAAATGATGTGAACAAACGAAGAAAAGTGAAATAAAAAAATTGCGTAAGTCAACTTTAAACTTGAACCATCAAGACTGCATAGAAAACTGTTTCAAATGTTTCAGTCTACAACGAAAGCAACGCAAAGTCTGCTAAATGAAATGGGGGCCAAAATAATTGTAAATTTGAAAATGGAAATTGAAAATGTACTGACCGATGTAGTTCACTTACGCTAAGCTAAGTAGATAACTTAGCATTAAGTGCAAATGTAGATCGTCAGAAAGTACACGCAATCTATTTAGTTTTCTAACCACTGGCAGTTATAAGAACACTTCTGATAAGAGACGAGATGCTATTGGTTTTAACTGATACAACTAAACTGCAACAATTTTAGATAAACTAAGTGGTTGCTTACAGCACTTTTAACGTATCAGCTCAGTTGGTTCATCAGAAATACGCCATTTGATACATCGAACTCGTTTTTTATGCCAATGCATAAGATAGTTAATTTTTTTAAAAACAAACCTATTCGGTTAATAGTTTTCTTAAAAGATACAATATACAAATAGAAACTGCACATATAAAAATAACAGAGGAAGAATATATCAACGAAAAAGCAGCAATGCAATCTAAATGAATGCTTAATCAAGAAACCCTCCATTGAGCATTAAGCATTCTGCTTAGATGAGGATCAAAATAATTTCAAAATAATTAGATGATGATTTCTGAACGAAATTTACGACATTTGATGGAATCAAGAGTTCTAGCCACAAAATCCTATCTTCAACCCAGTGCACAGGAGATTAATTATTAGTATTAGTATTGAACACTTCCAATTGGTAATTATGTTGAAGGTAGATGAGTCAGTGTCTTCATAACTTCTCTCTACACTTTGACTGGATTATTGTTTACCACTTCATCAGACTAAGCAATAACTGACCTCAGAACTGCATACCTTCTGAGGAGCCTATAACTAAGATGAAATAGTTTAAAAAACAAGAGCTTGTAATATATATGGTGTCTATAATTCGAATCTAGCAAGGAATATAATGCAATATTCAAAATTTTGATCTTATGTTATTATTCACTATTCCAAAACTAGTTACTAAAGTATTTAGCTCATGAATAACGTGTTAAGATATAAGACCAGATCCACGTGTTATAAAATTGTTACACTAAACGCTAGGCAATCGCCTTTTCAATTGGATACTGACGTCGTTGGGGGTGTGAGACGATGGTGTTCATAATAGCATACACAACTTTCACTTTTAAGTCGAAAATTAATCTGAATGCATTTTATGTTTTTAATAATAGCAAAAAATGTGCACTTTGTTATGTTAGATACAGATTGGAGTAAAATAAATTATGTAGGTGTGTCAAAGATGTAATGTGCATGCAAAGGCAGGCAAAGAAATCTGAGAAACTGGAAGGCGCTTAGTGCAAACTTTGCAGCAGGAAATATTTTTGGCTTATGGATCTATTCCTTCTCAGATGCACTTCCTGCTTTTTTGGATGTTTACTTTACCGAACTGTAGTTGCCCTGCCAAATGCCGCCTGCGCAACCTGCTGAGCGTGCTCCAAATTACGACGGACGCTTGAATGAGCGCATGCGCACAAATCTAAAATTGGTTGCAGTTCAATTTATTTTCTTTGAGCGAAAAGCAAATCGAATTTTATTTATTTTAAAATTGTTTTTATTTTATTTTCATTAATGTTTAATGAGCATTAAAAAGTGTTTCAGGTGCTGCGCTTGACTGCCTTTTTATTTTCTTTACTAGCGATTGGCAATATTTTCTTGACGTGGCCGGTATGGCCGATGTTTGGTAGTTGCTATTCCTAATGTTGCAACAATTGCAGCAAATTTTAGTAATAAAATGTTATGTATGAATATTGTACAATGAAAATTATCCAAAAGCGTTTTTGAATTTTCGTTACAATCAATTTTAATTAGACGACTTTTAAACAAATGCTTAACTCTAAATAATCTCGTAACTAATCGCTTATTTATATTGTAATATCAGGAAAGATCATTGCATAAGTTCAGATATATTTTTTACATAAAATTGCAGTACAAAGTCCTTCTCCGGCCTCAATGTAATCCAATTACAATATCAAAAACAATGTTGTCTAAATTAAATGTTGATTATTTTGCACTGGTACAGCATTGCCAGTGAGATTATTTAATTGAGTACTTAAGTTTAATGAGTTTAAACACGAATTTGATTTGCTTAACTAAACAAATTTTACACATTTGCGAACAGAAACATCAATTTTTCTTTTTTAATTACTTTATGCACATGGATAAGTCAGATAATCTAATAAAGGCGTCAACTGAGATTATTAACCTCAATGATGCTTAAACATCTTGAAAGCTTCAGTTAAAAATGATGATATTTCGGTATGATATTTCGATACTAACTCTTTTAGTTGAATATTTATTAATATAAACATGCAATTGGCTTTTGTATCCAAAATAATTTCACGCATTTCATAAATAGGTCCTAACCATAATTTTACCTTATTTGAAAATATCTCATAGCTATGAGTATAAAAAATTCTAGGCAACAAAGAATCACAAAATACACCCGAGACCCGAGGCCACTAAAACCATTCTATAAAATCGTAAACCGATCCGTAAAAAATCGATTGTCTGCAACCAATTTCAGTAAACAAGGGAAAGGAGACCACATGTTTAATATTCATAAACACACATATCCTTAAACAATGAATGAGACTCCATCATAGGGTTTGAGTGGGCGTCGAGATACATTTAGGTCAAGGAAAGAGACATGTATGCTGATGATTTTTAAATTAGCGATTGGTTAGCGGGATAGAGAAACGGATACGTACCATTTCATTGAAATTGAAACCCAGGCATTTAGGATCGCTAGCTCTAGTGATTTAAAGCATATTAGAAGATAGATCTTCTATTTAAAGTTAATTGTGGAATCGATTATAATGATTGGTAAGATATCTGTGGATAAGGAATATATGTTAGTTATCGGTAGGTGGGGTGCTTGGGTAGTAGTTTTCTAAGCCTGGCTACCTCCATTGTCTTTTCTATACCTGAAATCCTTCCAGATATTTCTTTTGGCATTTCCAATGTCTTTCTTATATTGGTTATTCTTCACAAATAACTTTACAATTTGTTAGCTGAACCAGCTTCAAGGTTTCGCAAACGTAACTTCATTTTTAACCTAGTTTCTTGTTCCACAGAGGTGGTTGAGATCTACATTTACTACGCATTTAGGCGCACGAGATGTGGTAAGTTTTTGTTAGGGCTCTGGTGAGTTGATCAAGCCTAACTTCCAGAGCCAAGTGACACTCTATTCTCAAGAATTTTCCAAAATTTTTAGATAGAGATACCAATTCGTGAGTCCTTTCATTCTGTCACTGTTCCATAAAGAACGTTTTATCTAGAACGTTTTTCGAGGTCGGTCCTATATAAGTTGGATTCTCGTTAATGTCAATTCCAGTAGCGAGGCGTCAGCTTTTTGGCAAGGTGTTCACAATTTAATCAAAACAGAATTCCAACTATAACGTATTCCCCCTACTTCTAAATTTTGTCCTTTCCACAAGCAAATAGCGTACAAGTCCAATAAAACAATTTATTTAAATGTTCGCAGCCTGTGATCCACTGGTTTTTATTTACCATAAAGCTGTAGCTGTAGGAAAACGACGACTTACCATAGATTTCGACATTTTTACAACAGGTATCAAATTCTTCATATCTGGAGTTGGTTTATTCATTTTATGAATTAAAATCTTTTTTTCAGAAGATCGTTTAAAAAATGACATTGAATCAAATCTTTAATCACACATTTATTCATTTCTAAATATTATTATTCACTTCAAATTTCTTTAATTTCTTTCTTTAATTTTACCATTTTCTAGTATAAAATTGCAATAATGACTTTGTTTTGATTTATTTCCAACCTCTATATAAGAGTAAGAAACTCTCATGCATTCATTTACTCTTTTACTTTGTATTTACAATGCCCAGTTCAGTTTTCATACTGAACCATTTCCCCATATAAAACAGCAACCGTGACTTTGATTGTATTTGCACACTTTGTATAAACTTTTGGTTCAGTTTAGTGGAATGATCCTCTCGTCAAATGTAAAGCGATTTTCGCTCAGTCATTTCTTTTCTCTTTTGTATTTACTTTGCATAACATTGGAAGTGCACTTTTTTTATTGAACTGCTTGCACGCATTAATTTAAGAGTTAAGATTATTTTACGTACATATATTTGTTTGTATGTTTTGTGTTGTGTATTCAATATTGAACATAGTCCCAATGTGAATGTTATTTCATTTGCATGCTTTGTAAGCAACGCGGTGCAGTTTTTAATCTGCACCTTAGTATATTTCAAGAGAAATGTGTTTTCTCTTTTATTAATTATAAGTAATGTTGGGTGTAACTAACATTTGTATGTGTGATTTTGTTTGTATTATACGTTTTGTGTTTATGTTAATATGTTTGGAAAAGCTATTATAAAAAATGTTAAATAGCAAAATAGCGAGATTATTTACCTAATAAAAAAAAAATCTAAAAAGGAAGCTTTGTTAAGGTGTTCAGTGAACACTCTGAACCATTCGACGCCTCGCCTCTGGTCAATTCTTCCCCAAAACGTATGATGTGCGTTGGCGTCAGTACCGATAATCAGACCTTGTTTTCTTTCGTTAGCTAAATCTAACAACCTTTGGAACTCTTCGGATGGTATGTTTTTCTCGTATGATGTGTAACAGGTCACAAGGAGTAGGTTTCTGTTACCGTCCACTGCCACCACCGTTAGATCATCTGTTGAGAGGGAGGTTATAATATAAGAATTAGTACCTTTCTTTATCAGTATTACAGTTCTTATCTGTGTTACCCTTTGTACGATAGACGTGTTGTAATTTTGTGACTTTTATCCATTGCCCGGGTATCAGCACCTACGGGAAGTGTTTACATTGAGGATTTTGCCTAAACTGTCGACACGGAGATATCTATCTGAATCTGTCGACCTAATAAACAAAGAATTTTGCACGATTCTTTAAAGTACTTGGAATTGATATGACTGTATGTGCTTGGGAGCAGTTTTGGGGGTCTTGTCGTAAGCAACATTGTAGAACAATGTGATGATACTTGGTTTTAATATAAAGTATAACTTCACAAAACTGAAACCTTACCTCAATTCATTCGATCGATATACGAAATAAAGTTGTGGATAATGCAACTCCCAAGTAATTGAGCTGGTTAACAAGCTGAATAGAGGAAGCTCTAATAGTCGGCAACAAACTGAAGTGAATCCATCACTTTAATATAGTACTTTAATTATTACTAATGTTCGGCATGACGATCATAATTCTTCTGTTTTACTAATTGATTCGGTGAAGCCTTTCTTAAAGTATGGCTGAAGTAAAATTTTATAATGATAATAAAAGATGGTATATAAATTCTTGTACATATAAAATATACATAAACAAACTAATGAAGTGGTTTAAAAGTTGAGGATGTGAAGCAAATCTTTGTTATGTATCATAGTTATATATCAAATTTTTAGTACCATTGCTGGGTTGTCCATAACTTGATATTTAGGAATATTGAAATGAAACACTGCTTATATACATAATAGTTATACAGTTATAATGATGAATAAAAAAGTAGGCTCAACTTGAAACCGTAGTGAAGGATAAGTAAAACGTCAACATATTTTATTTTAGTCTTATTTAAAAAAAAAATTCATTTAGAAAATTAGTTTCAAGTTTGCTGGTAGACAAATATTGACTTATATATTAAAAATGACTGATATTACAAAGGTGCAATTAATAAAAATCATGCGGGAGATAGGTCCTCTAGTTCACTTTGATGAGCTGTTAATGCATACTCGATTACATGGTATAAAAAATGATCACGACATATATAATTTAATTTGCGCTCTAGAAATAGCAGTGGATGGGAATTATATCAAGAGAAAAAATTTTTATTTTTATTTCCCGGACTGTCCAGAAAAACAACTCGAACAAATCAGTGACGAGAAATCAAAGGTTGTTGACTTTTTAATTAATACAGAATGTAGTTACGAGGATGCTAAGAAAATCAATTCAGACACAGGTTGTTATTAGAATTCTTTCAAATATAATAATCTAACACCTTTCAATTCCAATTTAGAGCCATCGGAACTATATAAAGCAAAAGATAATGAATCGGAATCTTCAGATATTTACTCTGAAAATGACAAGTTATGCCAGCCAGATAATAGCGAAACTGTCGAATATACTCCCGCTAGTGTAGACAATGAACATGAGCGCACTACTATAACTATGGACGTAGAGACTACTCCAATAGCTCCAACTGCGGAAAATAAGCCGTCCAGTTCAAAAAAAAATTATAAGAGTAAACATGATGTTAAAAAATCGTTTTCTGAATTTTTACTTTTTAATGCTGATGATGACAGCACTGAAAATCCGTAACTATTTATGTTTTTAGAGCAATGAATTGCAGAGTGTGTTTACTCAAGTTTTTTATTAAAGTTGTGTTATCAAATTTGGAATAAAGTTTTTTAATATTTAATGCTTTTAAATCTTTCGACTACATAAGCCTTACGTACTATAGTCTCCTTTTCTTGCTATGTTATTCCAGTTTCTGAACCTTTTTCTTTGTATATATTGTGTTTTCTGTATATATATCTTCTACAGTTCCATAACACATTGAAGGTTGTTAACATTATCCAAATAAATAATTACTATTAAAGCTAAATTTTTACTGTATTTAATAGTTTTATTTTTGCGTTAATCTCAAACATTGACAAGGTAAATCTAACACAGGGTTGTTATTATTGCTGATATAGAAAAAACTTGTCCAATATTAGAGATTTTGTATCGCATGCCCTAAAGCAGAACTTTTGATGTCACCACTACTAATCCGATGTGGTTTGTCAAAAGTTTTCTTAAAGTCCACGACTACACGGCATAATCCTAATTCAATGCAGATGGTCTTTATTTGTGCGATTGCAAATATCTGCCCATGGATATCTCAAGTAAAAACGCTGATCAATTACCGTCAATCATAGAAATTCACAGACTTCTTTCAATAAAAAAAATAAAAATCAGTTTCATTTAAAAGTAAAATCTTGATTGTGATTTCATTGTTTCCCTTGCAATTCTTATATGGTGTGCAGGTCTTCTATTTCTTTTCATAATTTACAATATGACGAGGTGACTATTATTCTTTTATTTGTAAAAAGTATACCAATATTTTTGAATGATTTTTTTTAAAATTTCACACTTTCCGTTTTCTATTATTCGCCCCCATTCAGAATTAATGAATCATTAAAATTTGAAGATCTGATAAAATTTATTTTAATTAAAAAATAAAAAGTAGAGATATTTTTATTTTTATTGCTGCTATAATGTGGGCTCATTGAAGTAATGCCAAAATTTGGGTTAGAAGAAAAAGAATAAAATAATAATTTCTACATGCAAGTAAATATTTTGACTCAATTAGTTATTCCATTGTGTGGTTACAATTTAAATATTGCAAAACGAAGGTGGCGTGATTTGTTGAAAGTAATAAAAAAACCGTAAACTAAATCTAATTATCTGTAATTTCTTGTTAATTTTAGATTTAAAATACTTTCGAAAATTTATGGAATTGAATAGTTTAGTTTCACGTATGTACATGTGCATTTTTTTTTAGTTCCGTAATGACCCTTAATCATATGCTCAATGGGGCTTAATCATCTCTTAACTTCCTTTGTGACAATGTTTATCTTCCTGTCACGTCACTTAGGTTTGATTCGTGTGAACAAAAACTATTGTCCTCCAAACTATTTACAAGCCACAACACGCAATCCAAGTTAGTCACTTGCAGACAAATTACAGCAACTTTTTGCTCATGAGTGCAGCCTTTAAGTGCAGCGTGTGACCCAAATCTGCACACTTTTTACTTGCGTATAGAAAGAGTATCTATTAGATTGAAGTATGGACTTGTGGTATTAGGCATCAACATTCAGCGTTGCAAACTCTATGTTTAACTGCTGCTGATCTAATTACTTTGCTTGCAAAACTTTTCGCATTACCAGAACTTGTTGCTGCTTCTATAGATTTTGTTGTAAGCGCTGGCGATGAAATCAAGCGTACACAAGACTATCTGCATTCGAGTTGGAAGTTGCCACTTCCATAGCCGTAGGCTACAACACGAACCACAATGAGTAATTTATTTCAGTCATCGACACTCATTTCTTATGCGGATGCAATGATCCGATAGGTTTTTCTGCATCAGGTCCATGCAATTGTGTTCGTACTGTAAAATAAAAACTAACCTGGTAAATTTTTAAAAAAGGGGTTCAAATAATGGGTTTGGCAGCAATAGAATTACGACTAGCGAGAGAAAAGTGTGATTACTAAATTCGTAGTTATATCAACAAATTAAGTTTAAGTTTATAACAAACAGCGTTAAAGTACTTCCGTATGGTATGTATTTCCAGTAATGCATATATTATGATGATAATATATAAATATGTACAAATGAGTACATATATATATCTGTATATGACCAATAAAATAAAGTTTATTAAGAACAAAAGATATTAATTTTAAGTATTCAAATTTTTCGAACTCAGAAAGAAAACCAATTTAACAATTTTAATTTTATTTATAGTCTCCTAAGCAGTAGCGAGGCGTCAGCTTTTTGGCAAGGTGTTCACAATTTAATCAAAACAGAATTCCAACTATAACGTATTCCCCCTACTTCTAAGTTTTGTCCTTTCCACAAGCAAATAGCGTACAAGACCAATAAAACAATTTATTTAAATGTTCGCAGCCTGTGATCCACTGGTTTTTATTTACCATAAAGCTATAGCTGTAGGAAAACGACGACTTACCATAGATTTCGACATTTTTACAACAGGTATCAAATTCTTCATATCTGGAGTTGGTTTATTCATTTTATGAATTAAAATCTTTTTTTCAGAAGATCGTTTAAAAAAAGATATTTGAATCAAATCTTTAATCACACATTAATTCATTTCTAAATATTAATTTTCACTTCAAATTTCTTTAATTTTTTTCTTTACTTTTACCATTTGCTAGTATTAAATTGCAATAATGACTTTGTTATTGATTTATTTCCAACCTCTATATAAGAGTAAGAAACTCTCATGCATTCATTTACTCTTTTACTTTGTATTTACAATGCCCGGTTCAGTTTTTATACTGAACCATTTCCCCATATAAAACAGCAACCGTGACTTTGATTGTATTTGCACGCTTTGTATAAACTTTTGGTTCAGTTTAGTGGAATGATCCTCTCGTCAAATGTAAAGCGATTTTCGCTCAATTATTTCTTTTCTCTTTTGTATTTACTTTGCATAACATTGGAAGTGCACTTTTTTTTATTGAACTGCTTGCACGCATTAATTTAAGAGTTAAGATTATTTTACGTACATATATTTGTTTGTATGTTTTGTGTTGTGTATTCAATATTGAACATAGTCCCAATGTGAATGTTATTTCATTTGCATGCTTTGTAAGCAACGCGGTGCAGTTTTAATTTTGAACCTTAGTATATTTTAAGAGGAATGTGTTTTCTCTTTTATTAATTGTAAGTAATGTTGGGTGTAACTAACACATGTGTGATTTTGTTTGTATTCTACGTTTTGTGTTTATGTTAATCTGTTTGGAAAAGCTATTATAAAAAATGTTAAGTAGCAATATAGCGAGATTATTTACCTAATAAAAAAAAATCTAAAAAGGAAGCTTTGTTAAGGTGTTCAGTGAACACTCTGAACTATTCGACGCCTCGCCTCTGCTCCTAAGTATCTGTATAAGTAAGTGGTAGCATCTCAAACAAGTGGTTATGGAGATATTAAGGCTTACTATATGACATTATATTATTATGACAAGTGAAAATGTACTACTCGACGCAATTCACACATACAATTCACACAAGTCATCTTAGATTTAATAATCATCATCATTTGGCTATACAGATCTCAGTTAGCCTTGGTTGGCGCTCTCTCCAATTTATTTTTGACTCTATGCTCTATATCTATTAGTGTTTATCTTTTTATATGCAATCTATCTCACCTAAAGATAATTATATAGCGGACCGCTTGTTTCAAATAAGACGTTCTCCTGTGATCACTTCTGCTTGCTGTACAGATACTATAACTTTGAGTTTTTTTTTTCACACTACTCGCGACATAGAATTGATTCTAATACACTGGATTCCATACTTCCTTATATAGTGCATAGTGCGCGACATGAAAGTCAGAGTTGGAATTGGATGTGAAGTGCCGAAGTTCGATGTTGCATTCCAACATCAAATTTTAAGTAAATGAGAGCATATGAAAGAGTGAACATCCCTGTCGAAATTTGAAAATGCTACACTAACTTTACTCGTACATTTTATTACAAGTAAAATTTATGTTGATGTGTGAATCAGTTGTTTTGGTTTCAATTTAAATATTTGTATTGTTTATTTGCGCGGTACTAGTGTTCTCACCAGACTTTACACAAAGCTGTTACATGAAAATCTGTGTAAAAAGCGAAATTTGGCACTTTATTTGTGTTGCGCTCTCAGTTTGTACTTTACTTGCGTTTTACTTGAGTCTTACTACGAGTAGGTCATGGAACAGACCTATTACTAGTGCCAAGTTAGCAACGTTGCTATAGAAACTGGGTTGTTATTTATTAATAAATTTTAAAAAATAATTTATTTATTGAACTTTTTCAGAGATATTTAATATTTGAGTTGAAATATTGAAATGATATTTATTTAGTATATTTCTTGAGCATATTTTCTAAACTATGGAAATTGGAATTTTTTATAAAGGTTGATTTCTACTGAATTTAGAAGCTAAACTTTGACTTTAAATTTCACAAAATTGTACTACTCTAGATTTGTGTTCTTTACTGCCTTAATCTATTTTGTATTAGGAGTATTTGTGTTCAAATTGGTACCGTTTATATATTTTACTAAAAATAAACTTATTGATAAAATCAATATTTGATATTTATTTTTTGGTTGATTTGAAAAATACGCATTAGAGATCTATATAATGTTTATATACCAATCGAAATTTTTAAAATAATAATTGTAATAATTGTAATAATTGTCAAAATGAAAACCCGAAACGGTGATGTTAACGCTAAATCAACTTTAGCAAAGTTCGTAATGTAAACATGGTATAAACCCCGTATAAGTAACTATATTCTTAATTGTTGCCTTTCGACTTTTTTGCTGTCACAAAGCATTTCAGCAATTGCTTTTTGGAATGATACACGTTTTGAGCTGTTAGAGGATTTTGATATTCTGAGCTACATTCAGTGAACAAGTATGAATGTTTGAAGCTCGTTCAACGAAGTTATTTGCACCAAAAAAAAATTTTGTATCTTTAATTGATCAGTTTTCGTTAAACTCAGCAGTTTTTGCTGATTCACATTTTTGTGTTCATATTTGGAAAATTTTGGAGTTGAGCAAAGTATTGAACTGCTGTTATAAAACCGGCTTCCATATAAAGATTGTTAATATTGCACGTGTGCAATTAAAAGAATTTTTATTTCGATCGAAACGCAAACATTTATGGAATTCTATTGCAATAATGTTAGCAATAAAAAATTTACTTCATACCACAATTTTGTTAAACTCATGCAAAAATTATGTTTCTAGGTATAAAAATATTATTTTATTTATTATATATATATTATATTTATTCTCTATGTTGTTGTTTCAGGCGGTCGTAAGAAACAATCAATTTCGAGCCACATCAGACAGCAAGCAGAAGGGCTACCATATTGGTGCATAATTAATGATGAAATAATATGGAATACTTATTTGATGACAATGAATTTTGAAATTATGATGAAGTAATGACCGTTGGAAAATTTATGGAAGGAGAGGATACAGCAAGTATTAGCTATATCACCAAAAATATTAGAAACTTTATCACCTGAGTTGGATAAACCCACAAATCAATTGTATTCAAATTTTAGTGCAAAACAAAATTGCTCTCGAAGCTTTTGTCAGTTGTCTTTGTCATAATAGTTGTTGATCAACTAATGATCAATGCATATATATTTATATGACTCATACTCAGAATACTTAGAATGATAAAATTACCTGAATAAATGATATATTGTAAAAACAATAAATAATTAGGGGGTGAGAGGTTAGAGCTTAAAACAACAAAAAAAAGCAATACATGTCACGAAAATTATTGAGGGAAGATTCCTACTTTGGCGGCAATCAGCATTATCTTCGTAATATGGGATGGTAATGTTGCTACAGGGTAATTGTTTGATCGAATCAGGGATACATTTCTGAGGCAGTTATCAAGCAAAATACTTCCGAAAATAGGTTTGGCTTACCAGGTGAAATGAATCTTTACGACTCATCTTTACTGACAAGCTTCCAGGAACAGCTGACAACTTCTACAAGACATCACTGCATGAAGAAATTTTCACTCTCATTCTTCCTTTACTTGTATGTATGCATGTGAATGACTATATGAATGGTTATCGAATGGTTTAATTTCAAAATATTAGAGGATATATCTTTTGATTTGTGTTGGATATATATAAGTTATCTATAGTTATGTATTACATGTAACAGAAAGAAATACTTATAAAAATATCAATAATAAAGAAAAAAATTATTCATATTAAAACTGATTAGATTAGTTTTAATAAACATAACAAACATGAATCATAAAAAGGGCAATACCTTCTGAAAGGCAGAACTAATATAGGATATTCAAATTAATAATTATATTGATATAAATCAAATCAAAAATACAAATTTCATATTTAATTCAAATAAAATTCCTTGAAAAACATTTAATATTAATGGTAGTTATTCTTCCAAAATTGGCTTCACTTTCCAGACTTTTTACATTTTATCAACATTCAATTTGTTTAAAATCATAAAAATAAAAAATTATTATTTAAAGTGCGTGCGAATGCACAAAAAAATCAATGCGAAAACCTTGAGTGAAGTGCAATAATGTTTTGTTTTTTCTTGAAAACGAATTTTGGTATTTTATTTATAAATATTTTTATTTTGTATTTAATTTATATAAAATTAATTCAAAAAAGTTGTTAAAGAGACTTTAACTGTCTGGAAATGTCTTTTGTGGTTGGCAGTGGATACGCACGCGACGTGGCAAAGAAATTGAATTGGCGTATTGACATTGGGAGTTGATATGCGATATAAATAATTTACATCAATATTTAATTATTTTAAATAAAACTCAATCCATTACTAGTAAAAACGACTTAAATTATGTCTGCAATTAACTTTTGTCAAACTATAAAAAACCATATATGTTTATTGGTACGTTGATCCGAATAAGAGTTATAATGATTAAATTTTCTTTAAATTATTAAATTGACGAGGCTCTTAATTGATATACAAAATATAAAAATATAAAGTTTTAAGATAAGAAATTATATTGCCTACTGACACAAGAAAAGACCTAAAGAATATCCAGTAATTACATACAAAGTAATATCCAGTAATTAAAAGTTATTAAGATCATGTTTATTGAGATCATAAATATTTTAAAGTCTGCAATAATTACGAATAATATATCTTCTTACATTAATGTTAAACTTATAATGGCTATGTACTTATAACTTATAAAATTATTAATGAAAATGCCTTCAAATATAAGAGTTTTTATATAGATTGCACTGAAATTCGATATTTTTATTTTCATATTCTATCCACCGGATATTAGTGACTACAATCGAATAAGATTATAGTATCACCAAACCGGATATTAGTGACTACAATCGAATAAGATTATAGTATCAGCACTCTTTAGTCAACAGGTCACATAAAAGGTAGGCAAGGCACTGCACAATAGATTGGGATGGGAAGTGGGATAGAGTAAATTAGGAGTAAGGATAAAGAATCAAACAATTAACGCCGAAATCGCAACGGCTACAGGCACATACTTTTGTCAAGAGCTATAAACTATTGATTTGTGCGATCACTGATCATACCAGTTGCTTCTTGGGCTCGCTGCAAACAGCTTATGTCCATTTTGTTTAGACCACGACCACGATGACACCATGGCACATATTCGATGCTTTTGTAAAAATTCAGACTTGAAGTTCAGAGTGCGACGTTATAAGCTTAAATATCAGTTCCTCACCTTTTTAAAGGTTCTTTTTTTCATTTGTGTGTGCATTTGAAGTAGAGCTGCAGTTGGGACATATATTGGAAAAAGACATATTTATACGTAACAAGTATCCGATTACGATTAGGGTATATAGTGATTCCCAGAAATACTAAGAGTTACGAAGTAACTCTTCCTTCACTTCAATCAACATATAAAGTTCCAAAATTATAGAAAATGTATACAATAAAACAGCAATAAAAACAACAACAATAACAGCAGTGACAAAGTACAACAGTTGCAAAGTCTGAAGATTAAAATGATTTAAAGGAATAACTTCATTATCGAAGAAAAGTCCCATTTAGAATTGCAAAAATTATAGAATCACACGTTATTAAATTATTGTTGTTTAAAAGGCAGCTTAATTCCATGTTTACATTATATTAATTAAGATTAGATTTTACTTATATCTATTTACTATAGAAACTTTAGATTGGAAAACTTTAGAATACAAAAAGTATTTCTGGTGATCAACTACAATTGAGATAAAATATTGTAAGACTGGAATTGATATTGAAAAGAATTATTAACCGCTTACACAAAAAAAAATTTACAAAATTCCAAACTGCTTTTAAATATAATGCGACTTTTTTTATTCTAATGTACATTATCTTTTTATTACACTAGTACATATATTTCATATAATTTTTACCGCATTTCGGATTACTAATTAATTGTGTTTAATTAAAATAAGTCATGTTGTTCTACATTTGTTGCTAACTAAGATGAATGCAAAGAATTTAAGTGATTAAATACAAAAGAATAATAAATTATAAATTTAAGGTAATGTAAATGTTTAGTATATTTGTTAACGGTAATGCTAAACACATATACCAAAAAATCGAATTTAACAAAAAAGATAATATATAAATTCATTGGACGAAAATATTTAAGCACTAATTAAATTTTAAAAATAATGTGTTTTTAATCACTTAAATTGCAAGCACCATTTTATAAATTTATATATATATATATATATATATATATATATGTATTTATATCTTCATATTTAAAAGAGTTTAACTTGTAAATATGCATATATCGATGCATTTTAATAAACATGTTTATAAACTTCTAAATTATTTAATACTATATACATAACAATCTCTTAATTTATATATATTTCGTTCTAACCATTAAAAAATTTTTTATTAAACATTACGATGCGATTAAAACGCTTAAGCAAATATAGTATATTTTATTTATTGTTTTTAAAACTAAAATTTATAGTTTCTAGAGTATTTTATAAGCTCCAAATAACTTTAGTATTTTATGCATAAATATATTTGTTCTTTGTGATAAAATTTAACTTAATATTTAATACAAAACTGTTTCATTTAAAACTGTTCATTTAAAGAATAACTGAATTCATAAATAGAAAACATATTACTCTATCGCTGAGGGACGGTTACATAAATGTTAATTATACATATGTCATTAAGATAAGTAAGATACTTATGAATTGACAATTCAGAGAAATCTAATTTTTTAAGTATCTAAAAATATTTCCGACGATCTGTGATTATTTTTAATACTAATGTTAAATTTTGAATCCTATTATGAAGCGAGCACACTGTTCCGTTTCCGCTACAACATTTTGTATTGTGTTGCTCACAATGCGCCACGTAGAATACCTAATTAGAGTTTAAGTGGAGTTCAGTTGTCAAACGGTGGCGAAATGTTTTCTGAAACATTGAGAGGATCAATATATGAAGGCGAAGGAACAATATGTTCCTTACGTTGTTTTATCTGAAATCATTTAAAAAAATTCTTTAGAGTGTGCATGGTAATATGCATTTAGATGAAATCGTCTTAATTAACTCGATCGTTCTTATTGGAATGACGAAATGGAAATAAATAATAATTTTTTATGAAGTAGTTTCGAGTAACACTGCTGCGGCAAGTTCTAGACTCCAGCCAGTTTGTTGCAATGCCTGCTCACATTGTGGACGATTGGCCAAACCAAGTCTAGAAGACATTAAAAAAAATGTAACCATTAAAATTTATTTCTTTAGTATTTTTAATAATGGTATGATAATAATAAAAGAAAATAAAATAATAAAATATGTAATTTATAACAATGCATATAATAAGATTTACTAATATATATTTCTTGATATCTTTAAATAGTTTACTTGAGTTTTCATTTTGCTAATTACCAAAAAATTAGTCAATCTTTTTCAGAACTGAATTTGAATAGTCTTGACAGTTTGTTTTGCAATGGTTTTACGATTTTGTTTACCAACCTTGATAGTTGATCAATTTTGTAATGCCTTATAGCTAAATTGGCGTCTCCATTTGCCGCTCGTAGAGCATTGCGTACATCTAACTCAGCTGCTGTTGAACCTAGGTCACGTATTATCTGTTGTATTTTATCATTTTCGCGACCAAAATCGGTTGGTACAGGTGCATACAAATTATTGGCGCCATCCTGCTGTTGTAATTTTTCTAAACGCCTTTGTATTTGTTGTGCCGACAGTTGTGGGGGTGCTAATGGTGCGGGACGATGAGGTCGCAAATAATCATCAGCTGTTACTTCGTCATAAATTGCGGGATTTTGAGTATTTGTAAGCGTACCGTTTGTGTAAATCCCATTGGCAGTGGCAGCATTCAAAGGGATTTGTCCATAATAAGTAGATGGTGTTGGTGCAACTGAATCATACATTTCACGCCCAGCAATACTTCCATACACTGAACCAGCCGTAGCATATAGTTGCTGATTTTGTGTTTTAGGAGGTACAACACGATTTGAAACGGCTACAAATCCATGATTTTGTATTGATGAAATCTGTTGTAAGCTGCTTTGATTTTGATATATATCTTCGGGGGGTTGAGCATAATACACTGATTGACCCGCAATATGCTCATACCAAATGCGATTGACCGCACTTTGTGTGGGATTTACTGCTGTCGATACAGACGCTGCTTCTAAATTATTTTGCTTATGTGCCTCTTGACTTAGATAAATACTGTTACGCATTTCTAATGCGTTTGTTGTAGAACTGGCGGTTGCACCTAATGATAGTTGTTGCTGTTGTTCGAGATTTTTCATTTTTGGAGATACATTATTCGATGTTGGACTTGAGAGATTCGAGTTTACTGTCGAGTTTTTAAGTGGTGTTAAATTTTGCTTGTAAATAATTTCCTTATTCACGTACATTTGTGCAGAGTTACGTTCATAGTCATTTTGTCCTTTGTTACTGTACATATCCTTTTCAAGCTCTGCTATGAAAGATTTATCGAGCAATACTTTTTCTGTTTGTACACCGCATTTTTCTACACTGTTATCGCTCATATTTATATGGATAGAATCATCGTTTTTAGTCACTTCAGTATTCAATGCAACAGAACTGTTGTTTTCATCAGCTAATTGTTCTGGTATATTTTCTTTGTTTCCTAGTGACAGCGATGAAGCACCAAAAAGACTCCTTCTTACAGTAGGGCTGTTATAGTTTGAATTTGTTGTTACATTTCTAAAAAAAAGTTATTTCCTGATATTCTAGAAAAACATTGATAAGTTATGTATATATTATACCTTAGCGGAGTTTCTTGTTTTTCTGACTGTTGTTGTTTGTTTACATTTGAGTATAGAGGTATCTCGCTACTACTGCTTTGCAATATGTTAAGTTTAGTAACATCTAAGCTGCTGGTATCAAAAGGATCTCGTTGTTGTTGCTGTTGGTTTTGTTGTTGCTGTAGTGCGAATTCCATTGTGTTAGAATAAGTTGGTGGCATTTGGTAGGGTGGCGGTTGCAAACGAGAGGGTGAATTACCGAACTGAAATTGGTGTGGCAACAAAGGTGAAGGCGTTTGCGGCTCATTGCTGCTGAATTCTTCACCTTCTGTAGGGACATCGATAGGTGCATCAAGTATACAAAAGGAACTATCCATTTTTAAAGACGTGCTTTCACCTAAATGCATAAGTGGGGCAGGTGGTGACCCAGTTCCACCAAATTCAGGCGAAATATCTATTAATATGCCTTCCTGTTGTTGCTGAGGTGGAGGTGGCCGTTGTGGCCCTTGCTTATGTTTTGCTTTGCTACCCGCTTTGGAAAGCTGCGCTTGTTTTACTTCAATACCGCGTTCATTTACAAGTTTATTATAGGCAAATTGTTTATTTGTAATTGATTTTCTTTCTTTAGCATGATGAACTTGCATGTTTTGAATTTGCAGTGAGTTACATTTGCGGTTGCGCTCTGTATATTAAAAGAAAATAATTTTAAGTTTAAATTTGCATTGACACCCTACTTCACATACCTGCTTGAATATCATTATGAGCGCTGATGGCACCTGCACCACCCCAACAAAAACCAAAAGGCGAACCAGCGTGTCCGGTTTGCCTCAGTCCTTCATGTTGAGAACGCATCAAATCACTGTTTGTATGTTTCTGTTTCTCTAGCACACTACGTAAAAATACGCCAATTTCAAATGTGCGCTGATTTTGACCCTTCACCAACTTCAACTCAGGTCTTCCATCAATGATAGCAATAGTATCACCTAATTCGATTTGCAAACGATTGGTTTCATGATAAGAACGGGCAGATTTTAGCAGAGGTGGTGACATGCCCACAAGGAACTCTCTGCATAGAATATAAATTTAAATTTTTATTTGAAATGTTTTTATTATTGAAAACTAAACTTACTTTAATGCAGCAAAGGTGGGTCGTTCTGATGGCGTTTTCTCCCAACATTGCAGCATCATTTCATAAACATCTGGGGGACAGGCATCAGGATGGTGTAAACGCTCACCTTCACGATCAATTTTTCGTAGGATTTGTGAACCATTTAAACCAACCCAAGGATCTTCACCAAAAGAAAACATTTCCCACAAGGTAACACCAAACATCCACGTATCGGATGCATGTGAAAATTGCCGAAAACGCAAAGATTCTGGTGCACACCAAGGAAACGGTACTTTCTTATGTTCTGACATAACATAACAATCATCCTCCTGTGGCAGTGCTCGCATCAAACCGAAATCACCGATTTTAATTTTATTTCCAGAGGCAAGTAGGACATTTCGGCATGCCAAATCTCGGTGCAAAAAACGTTTTTGTTCTAAATACGCCATACCAGTAGCAATTTGCACAGACCAGTTCCATATATTGGTGAGCGGAGTGTGCTTACATTGTTTTCGTAGAGTATCCAGCAAAGAGCCGCGTTCGGCTAACTCTGTTATCATCATCATGGGTTGTGAGAGGACCACACCATATAGGCGTACTAAATTTGAATGGTCTAAAGCATGCATAGCTTGCACTTCACGAAAGAAATCATCAATAATACCCGGTTGTGTAAGATTATCAGATTTAAGCACCTAAAGAAAAAGAAAATATTATATTTAAAAATTTTAAATTGTAAAAGTTCTGAAACTAAAAGATGCAATTTAAAATACCTTCACAGCCACTGGCAATACTTTGCCATTTGGTGCCGTATTCCATTCGCCACGTCGCACTACACCAAATGAACCATCACCCAATTTAATACCAAGCGTTATATCCTTTTCATGTATCAAACACGTGAGTTGTGTGTTCTGTTGTTCTTTATTGTTTGAACTGGCAGACTTTTTGGAGGATGGCTGCTTACCACCACCAATTAATTTACTGAGTATATTTTTTCGCCATTGATGTGCTTTTTTTTTACGTACAGCCTCCATTAGGCGACGTATAGCTGGCTTGCCAAGCCCACAACGTTCCAAATCTTCTGGTTGCACATAATCGAAATGTGCTAAACGTGTAACTTGGAGTTCATCACGTATTCGTTCGAGAAATTGTTCGAGCTGCACTTCATGGAGTAAATCTTCGAGCCATTCAGTCTCTGAAGTTGTATCTGTATTATTAGGTAAAGACATTCTTACACTAAAGTCCTATAAGACTGTTATCTACTATCTGAAAAAAAAAAATTAAATAAAATAAATAAATTTAATTAAATACATCTTAATCATTTTAATTAATATCACAGGATAAATTGGTATTTGTTTTTGTTGAATACATTTAATTATTATTCAAAGTTGGTTTATTTATTTCAATAAAGTCATATCAATGTAAAAAGGTGAAAGTGGATAGCCGGATAATTATATATTTAATGACTATAGTGAGTTGTCTCTGAAACAAGTGATAAGTCAAAGTAATTTATATTATTATTATTATTAATGTGCTCATGTATTACTATTAAGAAAGCAATTCAGTAAAAAAATCTTCAACATTTGCTGAAGTTATTGAGTTATACATCGATAAAAATGTCACACTGTATTTTAATTACCCTACTAAACTGAAAGCTTATCAATTAAGAAATAAACCGTTTCACTTTACTTACGCAAGCAAACAATGCTCGGCTTAGCTCATATATTATATATACGTTGAAATGAACAAAAGTTCTAATATCATCCAAAAAGTGAAGAAAATAAGTAATATATATATAATGTGCAGGTTATTATAAGGAAGAAGACAAAAAACACTGCGAAACATCGACAATGTAATTGTAATAATAAGTTCCGAAAAATTATATATTTGTTTTTATTTATATAGATTTTTGTTTTAATTGTTCACATAAATATTTTCCAATTCAAATAAATATTCAGTAGATATTGATAAAGAGCAAATAACTCTAGCGACAAATTTTTTTTGAATCCCATATGTATTATTACTTGTTAAAAATCTGAATACTAGAGTATCAGATCCATGCTTGCTTTGCTATAACTATAACTATTGTTATAGTACTTCGGTTATGTCTGTCATTCCTGAAAAGTCTACTTATTTTCTCTTCTTTGTTAATGGGGGAAACTCTAATAATAGTTATGAGTGACACTTATTCATCGCTGGTTCGTGACTCTATAAGATCGGTCGCTCTTTTCGGTAAAAGTTAATACTATTCGAGAAGCTGACAATTATTTAGCTTTAGCTTAGCATTTGTCAATTTAACGTGACTGACCAACTTTCAGCTAAAACTATGATTCTATTCGTACAATATACTGATATTTAACATTGAAACATAGGGGTATTCATATAGCACTAGTTTAAAATGGAAATGACCGAGTGTAGTGTATCGCTCCTATACTGTTTAATAAATATTTGTCACATTGTTTACGGCATAGCATATAAGTCTTGCGCCTCAACTAAAAGCTTTCACTACCTTTTAAATACAAAACATCGAAGATTGTAAACAAAGTAGAAGACATCAAAGCAATATTAAATAAACATTTAATAAACTTGAACTACATTTAAAAATAAAATAAAATAAAATAAAATAAAAAAATAAAGTTTTGATTAATAAAATGTCCACAGTAAATGCCAACGACCAAAGGCATTTTTATTATTGTGATAAAAACTGATTACGTCAATTTGTTGACTGAACTCATAGGCTGGCACACGTTTGCTGATGCATAGATACTTTTGTATTTCACCAAACAAACAAAAAAAACTGAATTGAAGTAAACAATCCATTGCTTTGTTGCTAATTTGGTTTTGTTTGTGGAAAGTGCAATGTGGGTAGCGGAAGCAACAAATAATAAAATGAAATATTAATTTAAAGAATGAATGAAATTGAAAGCTCTTTGGAAAATGCGCTTATGTGCACCACATTTATCTTTATTGCATAATAAAAGTATTTATTATTCAACCTGAAGAACAAAAGTGAAAAGTGTGCTGAACGTTTTTCCCACAACGCAGTATTTTGGTCGCCCTTAAAAAAGCTCTTAACGAAATGATTTCATCGAAATGATGAATTTTTATTTTATTATTTTTATATATTTAATAACTGCAAAAATGATTTTTAAGTTCAAGTTCATTGTTCATACAACAATTCCGAAAGTGTTTTTTCGCGGTTTCTTAGGCTTCAAACTTTTAGAACTATTCCTCTGATTTAAGCATTTATAATTAGCAACTATCGCGAGATACAATTACGATTACTAATATTTTGGCAGTCCGAATAAAAAAAGGTTATAAATAATTTTAATGAAAATTGATGAATGTATTGTCAAATATTCAATGACATATGCTCTATATAACTCTAGAGCATATGTCAGTCGCTCTTTTGAATTAAATTTCTTTTGCTAAACATTTTTTTATATTAAGCAAATTATGATTAAACAAAATAGTTTGAACTTAGATATGTTATGACGCAATACAATTGAGAAAATACGTCTCAAGAACTTAAAAGATTTTATATTAATTGATGATAAGGCATCGTAAGCAATATTCAGTTTTCTTTCCAAAATAGTCTGGATTTATACAAACCGACTATTATAATTTATAAAATATTTAAATATAAAGTAATAATTTTTTATACACGTAAATTCGAAGAAACGCTTTTACAGAAATGAATAAATATGTTATATATATAGTATCGTACACTACATTACGTACAGAATATTAATGTTTCAATTGAATGCACATTCGACAGAAAGGCATACGTCATTATTAGTATACTGCCAATAACTTTATTATTAGATATTTATAATATTATTGTCAAATGTGAGTAATAAAAATTTTGTGGAATTCCCAACTATTATCTTTGATTTTTTAAACTGCAATAATTTTAAGCGATTAAAAATATTTAACAGTCTTAGATCATTGCACTATGAAAAATATTTAAACAGATTATATGAAATATTTTTATAATACAATTAAGATGCTGTTACGATACAAATCAAATTGGTATATGCATAATAATATTTTGTAAAAATATGCAATAATAATATTTGTAAAAATTGCCATTTTAAATAAAATCTAAAACAAAAGTTGAGCTCTTTAAATTATAAGAGTTTTCTAAGCCATTAACTCTAAGTCATTTTAAAGAGTTAATTAAACTGAATTGACACTAACCGTGACCTACAACATCACTCCAAAACGTGTCTATATTGTCATTATCTATACGCAGAAATTATTCAGAGCTTATAGCGAAGCAAGTAACTAAGATTTTTTGAGAGGAGTTAATTATTAAAAAATCTGCAATTATAGCTAACAAAAGAATACAACTTAAGTTGGAAAATCCCAATAACCCTAATGATCAAGTTAGTGTTGTGACTGCAGACGGAATACCAAATAACATCAATATAAATCTAATTAGCAATGTGGCATTAGTTAATATTTACTGGCTTTCATCGAAGCATGCAAGCACACAATGTAAAAAAATCTTCAACATCACAGTAGCCTCTGAGGGATGCACTTCATCTAAGCGTTTCGTATCAAACATAAATGTGTGTAGCGAATACTATAGTAAAATGTATCTTTCTTGGAAATTGCTGTTACTGTTGGCATGTGTATCTTTTTGTTAGTATCACAGACACATGGTTCGGTGCAAATTGAATCATATTTATGCTTGGGAAGCATAAAATGGTAATTTAAAATTACAAAATGTTTTGCTTGAGAAGTGAGGTAAGGAGAGACGAACAACTTGATACGGTGGGTTTATCACAAAGAGAGTTCATGCTACCGAAGATCATACCATATCGACTTAACCAATTGAGAGCAAATTAGTGATTATTTTATTTTTCTTCAGTGATCATATTAATAATGTTTTGAACTTATAGAGATACTATTCCTAAAACCAATATTTTTTTTTAATACGTATATATATCAATAACATATTGTAATTTAAAATTACGTCTTTCGTAGCGCAACTTATGCGTCATCTAAGCCAATTGTTTGTAAATATCTTTTCTTAAATCTAACACAACTGCTTTAAATAAAGTATCTATCTTTGTTTTTTGCAATTGTTTTCATTTTTATAGTTTTATTTTTAGGCTGATTTCTTGGTAAAGTTCAGCAATCGCTGACTACAGTCCAGGCGTTGACTTTGTAGCAAAGAGATAAGTAGAATTTTATTTTAATGCTTCGTTCTATTTCAATTTATTTGAATTCTATTTTGCTACCACTTTTTATTTCTTTTAGTACTTTTGCTTTTAAAAGCCTCTTCAAGACCATTAAGTGTAATTCCTGTTCTTGTTTAAATGGAGCAGTAGCAGCAGTAATGTACGCTTGACGAAGCAATGCCCTCTAGTGGCGGTACGTGATGTTCTGGCATAGATGGCGGCTTTACATGAGGGTTCAGTGTATTCATACGATTAAAATGATTCATATACAGACATTGAAGCTGGTTAACAATTTTTAATAAATTTAATTTAACACAAAGCAAATTGTCATGCAAAATCTGAATTTACAATAAATAATTTTGTGTTGCGAAGCAGAAGCGCTCATGTATCTGAGACTCATATATTCACGTGTTTACGGTCAGTACAAAACTTGTTTCAAAAATTTCCCTCGTCATTACACAATTACTTCATTGCAGTTTGTACGACATACAGATGCAGATGCACTGATTTCTGAGTTTTTTTTTTTTTTGATTATTTTTTGCTTATTATTATTTGTCATAAATTTAGTTTTATGCCTCAGTGGAGTCTGCACTTTAGTTTGTAGCGATATTGATGACGAAATTTGATATGTTTCGAGTAAAAGTGAATAGCTGAACGTCATAATGACGTTCTGCATTTCGATTATTAGACTTAGGTGACAGTCAACATCCTCAGTCACTCCAGAGGCTTTCGTATTCATGGTATATGTACGCAAACTAAGCAGGTGCAAATTTATGCCCATATGGAACACGAAAATGTGCTGCCAACTGTTTCTGAAATGAGATGATCATTTTTGGTGGAATCATATCAAATAATTCATTTTACAACCACTTTAAGACTAATAGGTTATTGTTATGATTCTATAGGGCACCGTGCCACATGCTCAAACTGTTATGTTTCAGCGATCCTGATATGCGCCGATTTATTCTCGTCTAAGTGTGAAATTTATTTTTAATATTAGAATACAAATTAAAAATAGAACATTAATCGTATAAATATCAGTATTTCAATTGAATAACGATTTTAAAAATTAAGTATTTCTGTCTTTGTCAAAAGTCTGTACAACAATTATAAGAAAACGTATTGATTACTTTTAAAAAGCAAATTACTTTAGGAATTTATATTGTATACGATGTCTTACTTTAAAGATTAATATCATACCTCTTAATCTACAACGAGATAAACCTATCTGAAAACACAGTGATTAGTTGGTAGTAAAACTAAAACACCAGAACAACGTAATGATATATTGAGCTAAGCCATTTTTGAGCATCAATTTCTATACAAAAACATAACATTGATTGGCCTGAGTTTTATCAATATGTGGAACAATTTAAAAAGAAATAAAAACGTGAGAAGAGGTGAGATAATCGCAAGGATGCATAGTGGAGTATATACAGTTTATCCAAATTCTCTCAAATGTTACTTTCTTCACGAACCTTATCATTAGATTGTGTAGTAATCTTAAATTATTCTCTTTCTACTTTAGGAACAATAAATTACATGATATAATTTTGAATGCATATATTCATATGGAGATAAGAATTCGTGTTTAAATAGAAAAACTTGCCCTTACAACACCTAATATATATACATATATGTATGATATAAATGATATAAGAGCTTATATGGCAGTTATAGATATATACTTTTGCCGTACTATACAGTGGAGATTAGTGATTTATAATTTACCAGTAAGTTTTAATATTCAACATCTAAGTTTTTGTAAAAATATCTTGAGTTATAAATATCTTTTTAAAATAATAACATGAATTTGAACTCTGATATTGTTTAGCAGCTTCTAACCGATTTAACCGATTCGACATAAACGTCAAATTAAATGCGTATTTATGATTATGAAGTATCAAATTTAAATTTAATATTTAATAAAGAGATATTAGATCTGATAATCCAGTTTATTTGGACTCCATGGGATATATATATAGCTATTTCGGAAATTATGTCAGTGCTGTTCACGAAAAAACTATGAGCTTCTAGAAGGTCATCAAAAACCGTTCTAGAACTGATCAAAAAACATATACAATTTACTGGATATTCGATGTCACCTTTTTGAATTTTGAATTGTGCTACGTTCATTTAGTTTTAGATAACACGTGGCCTTTAGCATATTTTGTTTATCAGTGTCTAAATATTTAAAAATGTTAAAAAGATAATATCGAACATTTAATGTGGCTTAACTATTTGGCTATACTAATAAATAAAATAAAAAAATTTGCTAATACTTTTCAACTTCGAGCATTGCTGATAAAAAGCGTGCCTCATAACAACCGACAGAGACGGACAGGCAAAATAATTGACAAATAACTAGAACCTCGAACTAAGGAAATAAGTCAATTATCTTTACTACATGTATTTTTTAGTTGCAATTATTTTTGCTATTTTATTTTTTATTACTTAACAGAATCACATTAGTCAATCTAATGCACATTAATATTGCATATGAATTCCTGTCACTTTCAGTTGAATTTGAATTCCATACCGAGTGACCGCAAAGCCAGAGCAAACAGAATGTGTAGTGTTCAAGAGGAAAAGCTCCATTAAGACAAAGAGCAGTTTCCACTTCCTGTTGTTTATCTTTATGGTGCTCATACAAACTACAACGAACAAGCAACACAGCTGATAGTGATACGCTATTTTGTGAGTTTATGAAAAGATATAGTGCAGATGCAGATGCGACAGAGGGTTGAATGCACACAGTCATTTCTGTGTAGTAAAGAAGAATAACTACGACGATGCAGATATTTGCCTTTGGGCACTACATGGCAACATGAGAACAGAGGACACACTTTAGAGTGGTTTGCGTGTTGGTCCCTGCATTGAGCAGGGTGCAAAGACAATCATGACACAGATACTTTACTCATGTTTTTGTTGTGGTATAATTTGTGGTTGCTTAGAAGGGGGAGGGTGCTGCATTGTGTCAAGTCAAAAGAATTAGATTATACTTTTAAGTAGAAAGTGCGTGAAACTGGTGGTGAAACAGGATGGGAGTTGATACATTGTTTAAATTGCAGCAGTTGCAAAATCTCCCATGAGTAAGCATTTTTAATTAGCACTTAAATTAAAAACACCGCACAAAGATTTCATTCCAGATTATTTTATTTATTTCGAGAAGTCTTTAAAAAATTAAGAGCATCTGAGTTCTGAAAATAGGAAAAAAAATAGTATTTCAACAGCTGCAAATAACAAAAGCAAATATCAAATATGCACTCAAATAGCGTAGACAAGTGTTGCTTGTTCCTTAAACTTCCTGTTTAGTGTGCCAATGACCAAAATAAATTGTCGCGAAACCTGATATCTTCGCAGAATAAGCAGTTAAATAAAAAAAATTATTAAAATCGTTTTTGAACTTGAATACCTGACAGTAAAGTTAGAAAATATTTTAAAAGAAATGCAAAAGTTCTTACTTTCAGAGACTTAAGACATTCTTATTTTAATAACAGAATATTTGTGGAGTGAAAATAATGACCCAATAAAATAAAAAGAGTGATTAGCGTTTCCTTTAATAAGATCGAAAACAGTAAACTCTGGCAAATAAATCAATAAAACATTTCTTTTAAAGGTTCAACTTTCATTGATTCAAAGATTGAATATCATACGTGAACTTTTGCAAAGCATTGATTTGATATTGAATTGAATGATATTGAATGTTATTAACTATAAATTATGTTTAATTGTAACTCACCTATAACATCAACGCGTATTATATACTATAACTAAATTTTGAAGAATGTTAACAAACCATATTAGAATTAGAACACTATTAGTAAAACTGCCACATAAGGGGTCACAGAATCGGTTAAATCTTCATCTCGGATCGGCCAAGTGCCGCTCATTAAATGGTTATAACAACAATTGAACGAATTTACTATTGGCAACACGGTCCTACAATTATAGAACGGTGTAACTAAGAGAACGGTAGAAGGGAAAAATGTGTAATTTTTTGAAACACCAATAACCAACATAAGATTTAATATTTAATAAATGATATCAATAAAATATATTATTTAAAAACCAACCTATGGTTCATACGATCTGTTATGAAAGGCTGAAATCATAGAAAAGGCCTGTGACAAAAAAGCAAAAGATATAAAATTGTTGTTTAAATTGATAGTTTATATATTTAACTTAAAAGAAAAATCTATTGCTCATTTAACCCTCGAATTTTTTTTTTGGAAAATGAAATAATGTTTCATGGATTTTCTAGAATAAAGTAATGAGCAGAAGGACATATGTATAACTAAAAGTATGTCCTGGGTTCGAAAAATATCTAAGACTATGTTCCAGAGCCACTCGTCGAGTCCGACGACTAAGTGCCGTTCGACACTGTCAAAAGGAACCACACAACGGACAACAACAACAAGTAAATCCTACATGATTATGTCCTAACATTTTATTTTTTTTGCAGGAACTATATACCAGATTCTAACATTCTAATATAAATATCTTTAAACAATGCTATACATATCTATATATATATATCTCAATTTTAATATAACTGACTTAAAAAAATCATATCAAAAATCTATGTATTTCTATGTACTATGTACAAAACAGAATCTGTAAGAATACAATTCCGAGTTTAGTTCCAATATAGATCACTTGTTTACACATATATACATATGTACACATATACAAAGCAATATATATATGGTGCATATTATTTTATGTCATTAAATCATTTATGTTCACACCAAATGCACTTTTTAATGAATTCCTATTTTATGTAATTCCCACAACAGCACAGAAGCAGGGGCGAACCTAACATATGTTCTGCAGTTTGTAGTGCACGAAAACTGGATTTTTGCAATGACGACAGCAGTTGCTCTGCTCTCCACTGTTCTGTTCTTTGCTATACGTAAAAAGTGGTTTGATTAGAACTCGCGCTTTGCAATTATGATGACGGAGATTGGCATACTAGGCCAACAAGCTGGTCGACAGGTTTTGCACATATAAGAGTGAATGATAGACATTTCTGCTGCGGCTGCTGCAACTGCTACTGTCAGGAACGAACCGCCGACAACAATTACTGTGCCGTCGAAGCCGTCGCCGACTACAATTATTACTTTCCAGTTGAGCGAAATGTGTTGATGACACCTTTTCGATCTTTTCAGGAATATTTTATGATGAAACTAAATTGCTTCTACTTTTATGGATGCAACCACTAGTTGTAAAGTTTCCACTTTCACTGGTTCTCTTTACTTAGAGCAAATTTTAGTAATTTTAATGTAGGTATAATAAAGTAAAGCATTTACATTTTGAATAATTTAACATTTTATATAAAAGTAAATACCATTTTTATTTACGCTTTATACACTTTTCCAACGAACGTTTTAGGAAGTTTGCGCACACACTCGCTGGCAACAACAAATTAGTTATGCACTTTTAGTATGTAATTACCTTTTTCACTTTAACAAAATTTTATGTTAAATACTTCACTTACACAATTTATACTACACAATCAAATTATCCAACCAACAAAAAACAAAGAAATTTTTTTTTTCACAAATGCCAAAATATGCTGAAAAATGACAGCACAAAGTAAAAAAAAATACCAAGAAACAATTTTTTTCATGAGCAAATGCAAAACAAAATCAAATTAATTACCAATTGCTTGTTTATAACACGTTATTGTAAGTTCAACAAATTATTATTATAAATTTACGTATAAAAATATAGATTCACTTAACACTAAAATCATTCTAATCTGTTAAACATTCGATAAAAACAAGGCTCCGCTTAATCAACAACATTTCACAAACCACCACTAGCGAAAGAAAAGAAGCTACTGACTACAACACAAATGTCACAACACAACGGCAACACTGTTAGAATACTTTGTGTGCTACTATTTATCACATATGACTAAGAGTGCTGCCACCTAGCGCATAATAAAATATTTAAATCATACATTGCAGATATACATCATATCAGATTTTTTATGAACAAAAGATGAAATTTACTGAGAAGTGAGAAGTGTACCTTTATTCCGCGTGAGTTAGGAATTTTTAGAAAACAAACAAAAGAAATTCGAAGTCTATTTTCAATGTAATTTAACATATTCTATTTGTTTAGAGTTAAGTGTTTTAAAGCAAATAATAAACTAATTATTTATATTATCACAAATTTCATCATTTCAGTTTTGAATTTATTGAATATAATCTAGTTAAGACGCAAAAATATACATGTTTGTGATAATTTGTTTTCATTTGCAAATTATTAGTTTTTAATTGATATATGCCTTGATTCGCAGCTTTATATCGTTTTTTTAACTTTCTCACAACCTTGTAACAATGATTTTCTCGCATATCTTAACATGGATTTTGTATAACTTTTACATTCTAAATGGTAAATTAATTAAACTCATTTAACGCTCTGATTAAATTAAAAACAACTTATTTTGCAGTTTACTTGTTATTTATTTGTCCACACAGAAACAATTCAATTTTTAGTCCATCCTTTTTTTATTTATACCATTATTCTGTGCGAAAATGATAATATAATAGGTCTGTTCCATGAGCTACTCGTAGTAACGTTGAGTAACACTGTGTATATACATGTGCGTTCCATCATCAAATTTTTGAGTATATGAGAATATTTGAAAGAGTGTAACATCCTTGTCCAAATTTGAAAATGCTGCACAGTCTTGCACATTTTATTTTAAGTAAAATTGGTGTGTTGTGTAAATCAGCTGGTTTCAAAACAGTATTCAATATTTGTATTGTTTATTTGCGCGTTACTCGTGTTCTCACCAGACTTTACACAAAGCTATACCATGACAATCTGTGTAAAGTGTAATTTGGCACTTTATTTGTGTAAGGCTCTCAGTTTGTTCTTTACTTGTATTTTACTACGAGTAGGTCATGGAACAGATCTATTACTAGTGCCAAGTTAGCAACGTTGCTATAGAAGCTGGGTTGTTATTTATTAATAAATTTTAAAAAATGATATATATATTGAACTTTTTCAGAGATATTTAATATTTGAGTTAATATAATGAAATGATATTTATTTATTTTATATCTTGAGCATATTTTCTATACTTTGGAAGTTGGAATTGTTTATAAAACTTGATATCTACTGAATTTAGAAGCTTGACTTTGGGTTTAAATTTCACAAAATTCTGATACTCTAGTTTTGTGTTCTTTACTGCCTTAATCTATTCTGTATTAGAAATATTTGCGCGCAAACTGGTACCGTTTCTAGATTTTGTTAAAAATAAACTTTTTGAAGAAATTAATATATGCTTTTTTTTCGTATGATTTGAAAAATACGCATCAGAGATCTAATGTTTATATATCAATCGAAAGACTTTTCAAAACTCTATAAACAATATGCATTTTTGTTAAGTTTTTTTAATTTTTTCAAAAAATATATTTTTCAATGTTTATATGTGAATAACAACCCAGGTTTCCATAATAACGATTCCAGCTGATTGCTCATCAATATTTTAAAAAATTAAACAATTTCCAAAATGAAAACTCAAAACGATGATGTAAATGCTAAATCAAGTTTAGCAAAGTTCGTTAACTAAAGTTGGTAATATATATCACCCCGTAATATTTAAAAAAATTGTACTTTTCCGTTATCTCAAATTTATCTTTTCCTTTAAATTTATCTTACGCGTAGTTGCATTTGAAATATTCCTTAATTTGAGCCATTGCTTCAACGAAATTAAGGCCATTTTCTTTAATTTCGTTCTAACGTTAAAATTGAATTCTGTATGGAAAAAACAACTTAATTTCGCTGATACGAAGATGATATTAAGAAATTAAATTGTGTCTGAATATAGTATGATGTTAATTATAAAAGAATTGAAAAGAATTGCAAATACATACACTACTTTAAATAATTTAAATAGTCAATTTGAACAAATCTTATTATTTGCATTAATATACTAAATACATATAAGCATAATGACTAATCAGCAAGTAATTTTCTTCAACAAAAGAAAATCTTATAACAAAATAAGATAACATTAAAACTAAGTTTTATAGAATTTATATTTCTGTTATATAATAAGAGTAGTCTATTAGAGTAGTCTTGTGAAGTTCATCACTAAGAGCCGCAATAATTCGGTTACTCTGTGCACTAAACAAACACACAGCAACCGGTATATTACAGTTACTTATTTTGGTAATTCGCATTTTCCCGCTGAGCACAACAATCGCTTAACAATTTTAAAAACATTTTTAAATACTGAGTGAAAATTTTTTGTCGTTTGGTTTTTTTATTAAATAAATATATGCAAATTTTATTAAAAGAACTGAGTTAAGAATTTCGATGGTGTTAACCAAAAATGTTATCATAAAACTTCTGCAGAAAGTTTCGACTTTTTAATGGTTCATTATTGTTCATTTCTTCACAATAATATTTGTACTCCTTCAATGTTTGTGAATCGAGAGGACCCCAATTGGGCTTAGGCTTAAATGCGTTCCGAAATCTTTCCCACCAAGTATTGCCAGGTTGTTTGCGGATTGTCGGTATAGCCCAAAAGATCAATTGGCTTATGCCAAACGCTGATAAGCACCAACCGAAAACTGCAAAAGAATGGGTTTATTGAAAAATTTCTATGGATTTAATATATTTGAATATAATTACCGTATAAACCGCTTGGATATGTGACGCCATTGTACTCTAATGGCTCATATTGAACAAGTGTGTAGATAAGAATGGCAGCCATGAATAATGGGGTAACTATGCCCCAACAAATGCGATAGTATATTGAAGTTTTGATTCCTAACATGAATTTAACGTCATTGCAAAGCCGTTTAACACCTGTGAAGATACAAATGAAATACATTTATAAAAGTGAAGTTTGATTTTTGACTTTCTCATAGGTACTTACCGTAGACCCAACCAACGGCGACTAATTCAAATATAGCTAAAACTAACGCTATAAATGATACACCGTAGAAGTCCAAAAAATTAAGTAAGAACTGTCCGCCCGGTGTGATATATATTAAACCGATACCATAGCAAACAACAGCGATGCATACAACGAATATCCAGTGCTTTGTTTTCGTGAATTGATCCTTAAGAACCGTCAGTATACAGGACGCCATGCCTACATTGCTACCAACACCGAGTACGAAAAGCATCAAAAAGAACAAAACAGCAAAGATCTATTTTTTATGTAATAAATTCAAAGAAGAAAAAGTTTGGTAAAAACTAATTTACATTGCGGACTTACCTGTGGCACAAAAGTAAACTTAGCTATAGCATCAGGATACGAAATAAAAGCCAACCCAGTACCGCCTTTAACTACACTTTTTATATCATCAGTATTATTTTCATAGGCTAAATTGCCTAAAATTCCAAATATAATAATGCCAGAAAGAAGTGAGGTACATGTATCAAGTGAAGTAACTATTGTACAGTCCCTTTAATGAAATGTTTGCTATATCAATAATTTGTTAAAAACTGATCAGTAATATATTTACCTATGTATATTGTGATTAAAGCGATTGTAGGAAGCATACATAATAATATTTCCAAAGCAAATAGCCAACGAAAAAAAGACTTGTGTAACAGCCGCGTACCATACCTTACAAAATTTTATTATTAAAATAAAATAAATTAAACAAAGGGGGGCAGTGAAACGTACCTGTGGATCGAGCAGTTTATCCCACTGTGGTGTAAGGAAGTATAAGACTCCATCAAAAGCACCAGGTAATGTTAAGGCACGTATTAACAAAATCAACATTATAACATAAGGAAAGACCGCCAGAAAATATGATGCTTTACCAGAACTTTTAATACCTTTAATCAGAATTAATGATATTATAACCCATGCCACAGCTAATGTCAAAACTAGCTGCCAATTAGGATTGCCGATACCATCATCTATGGATTCCTTCTCGCGTAATATTATATTCCTACAAAGAATAGAGAAAAAATGTGTTATCCCTTTAATGATAAAAACAAAAAGTGCCTTTCTTACGTAAAATAAAACTCTGCTGAAGTAGTTTTCACTTCTCCTGGTGCCGGTGTGGTGGTTTCTGTTTTAAGTTTAGAGTCAATACATTTATCACCCCATTCGTCCCTGCAATAACTCCATGGTAATGTAGGATAAAACGAGTCAATAAAATATCTCAAAGTGAGAGCCATCAGCGTGGCATAATAAGTAGTTATCACACCAGTTGCTAGAAGCTGTCCATATCCCACACCTGTACATATTATGGAAACAAACATTAGCTAAATAAAGTAATTGTTATGCAATGGCACTCAATTCATAATTACCTCGAAGTATTAGCGCAAAGTCATATACCTTAACACTGCCACGACTGGAGAACTGACCAAGTAACATTTCCATATAATATACTGGCTTACCAACTAAAAATAAGACTATAATATAAGGTATCACAAATGCGCCACCACCATTCTCCAGTGCGGTAAATGGAAAACGCCACACATTTCCAAGGCCAACGGAAAGTGCTATACAGGACATAAGAAATTCAAGATCATTACCCCAATTATCACGTTTTCTTGTATTCTCTTGGGATTCTACTGGTGGTAAGTCTGTATTTGTATTCTAAAATTAAATAAATTTAAATATACGTTTGGTTTTATTTTATTTTAGTGGGTAAGTGTAACATACTGCTTCCAAATTCGTATCCGTCGATTTTGAGTTATCCTCTGTTCTGCTCTCAGTGCCTGCATCAATATTACCCTCGTAGGCTGGATTAACATGACCAGAATCAGCCATTGTTGGGTGAGTAAGATTTAAACTTTTTACTGTGTTCTAAGAGGAATAAAATATTGTCTAAGGACAATATCATTATCTGAAAAATTTGATAAATTTATACGTTGTTAGCGGAATATAACATTTAAATACTAAAACATTCATTTATTTGATTTTTCCAATGGCCGCTTTTTGAAGAGAACATAACCCTAGTAGTGTGCTTTTCTAATCCCTTGCTTTGCAAAATATTTATGTATTATGCTTGAAACAAATTGCTTAATTCTGTTTAATTAGAAAAATATATTACTTATATTTTTGTTATCCTTATGCAATAATATCTCGTGTGAATGTGGAATGTGTGAATAAAATACAATATAGTAAAACGGACTGTAACCGTTATAGAGGTTTTGTTTTATGCTCTCTGCTCCTTCTTCCTCTCTCTCTCTCTCTTCCTCTATTCTCCCTCTCTCCACTCTCTATTCCCTCTCTCACTTCTTTCTCTCTCTCTCCTCCCTTTTCACCCATCTCACCCCTCTCCATCTCTCTCTCTAATATTTGCATTATTCTGTCTTTATATATAAGTTGGTAAGAAATTAATAACAAACTGAGTTTAAATAAGAATATTATTATTGTAGATTGCCTTTTATAAGTAAGTACTTTAATTCTCAAAAATTGCTAGACCAATACCTTGAATACTTCTTCTCTATTGTGTATGTTACCAACTCCAACTAAAACTATACTTAACAAAGTGCAATGCACTTTTCATTTCTAGCGTTGCACCGGCTGATGCAATCTGGCTCTGTTATTGACACACTGAGTTCTAACTTTTCGATGCGCTGACACACGCTAAACTGAACTTTATACTAAAGCAAACAATTATTTAAGTTATTTTTTTTAATAAATGTATAATTATATAAGTTGTCTTATTTGGTTTTTAAATTTCTGCACGTTTCTTTTGGAAAACCATTATATGAATTTTGTGGGATATGCATTTGAATATGAGACAAACTCTTTGTATTTTACAGAAATCGTTAATTGCTAAATTGAATATAAAAAAATCGAATATAAAAAATACTACTTGGTATTTTGTAATGATCATCTGCACTGAAAATTGCAACAAATACAAGGTTTTTTATTCACAACGTTAAGCACTTCGATTTTCCGTAGTTAGATACATTGAATTAAGTTCAAGGTATTGCAATAATTTGCAATGTAAATGTTATCATTTACTGGAAACTTGGGCTTTTTTTTTTAATTGTTCCGATATTTTAAATCCATGAAACATATTTCTCATAGAGTATAATCGTTAGTTGAATGCATGATATGGGACGGATCACCGGTATATATTTAAATAAAAAAGAATTTAATAATTAATAATTTAATATTATTAAGATAACTCATGCAGCTCTCATCAATTAATTGTTAATTAAGAAATTTATGAAGATAAGAATAAACGGAGCACGATCTCCCATCGGTTTGGAGCACAGGGACCCTGACTGATCTTCTGTGCTGGAAAACATATTAACAGATTGAAAATTCTCTTCAATGACACTTGCTGTAATTGTGAGGAAGATGAACGATAGTGTGACTAAAATAGTGACTGTAATTTTAGCAATTTTGGGCAGTTTAATTTTTCTCCTTACTCTGTTACTCTAATATGGAACTGCTGGTCCTATCGTAGTTAAATGTGCTCTTATATTCATTTTCGCTATGTAATGTATACTTTTGAGTTGAGTTGAAGACTGGTGTTTTTGTAGCAATGCAAATGCAAAAAGTATGTACATTTTTTTGTCCTTTTTCTATAGAAGCCTGTTTGTATGTATAAAATTCATTTGAGGTGCGAATGTGAAATAATAAATTATCTGTTGAAAATGAGCTATTTATTTATTTAAAGTGTACATATTTTAATAAAAAAGATGACATTAGTAATGTAGTGTATATAGTTTCTATTATTGGTTCACTTTCAATTTTTGAAATGTGATGTCAATTATTTTATTAAAAATAAATTCATTAAAAAAATCTTAACAGGTGGTAGTTCCTTATACGCTTTCATAACTTTATGACTACGTGTTGAATGCAGTTAATTGAATTGCTTCAAAGAAGAAAAAACGTGATCATGTTATGAAATATTGTATTTGCTTATGAAATATTGTTTTTAAATTTTTTAATTAAAATTGCGACCAAATTGAGTGAAATGTTTTAAATTCCTTTTATTGACATTTCTATAAAAATAATTATTATTTAACAAAACCGAATACTAAAAACGTATCATTAAAGAATTTAATATATGGAGTAAGAGGAGGAGAGTTCGCAAAATTGATAATGAATTAATACTGGGGTTCCAGGATTTATTATCATGTTTTTAAAAAATATTTTAAATCAATTATTGTTAAGTCTTTAGTATGAGTAATTAAGTTAATAATTCAACGGAAATGGTCTTTAAAGTTATAAACATTTTGCACTCTAGTAAACATTGTTGCGAAGAAAATTTATTTATATCTAACTATGGTATACTTGTGTAGATAGTGTTATCTTCTGTTTGTCATTAGTTAAAAATTCGCTAAAAATTTTATAGATTTAAATTATAATAAAACCTTATCCTTTTTTTATGAACATTAATAGATTAAAGATATATTTATTTGTTTTATTTCTTTATTACATATATTTTAATAATTGTTTATACTAAATTTGATTTTATCAAATCTGATGTCAGATTATAAAAAATCTTTTTGTTTAAGTTTCGACTATGGACTGTTAATTATGTTATATCGTCATTTACATATGATTTAAATTTAAAATATTTATACCGTCAAGCTTCCATAACTCGAAGAACCATTTTGCAAAGAAAAGGTTCGACGTATGGAGACTTCGAGTTAGAAAATTTTTTTTTTTTTTAGTTTTGAAAGAAACTAGAATCACATTTTAAGATATTTATATATTTGAAATCAAATACAGCACAGAAGTTATAGTGAAGTGAAACATAAAAAATTAGGATTTGGGATTTTAATTTTTTTCTTATTTTCAGTAAAAAAATATTCCAATTTATTCCAAACCTTATAGTAATCATCAGTGTGAGTATCATTCGTTTGTAAATAAAAATTCAGAATTTTGAAGAAGTCTTCTAGTTTATTCTTGGATGGCAGATGCACAATTTCATCCATCGAACCCTCATTATTACTTTCCGTTGCGCTTAGGATCGAATCCACTAATTCAGAGCTATAATACTTAATAATATCGTCATCTGTAGGAAAGCTTGATGTACAAATTTCAGTGCCAAGCTCAATATAATCGTTGGAAGAGAAGCATTGGAAGTTAATTTATTTACTTTAAAACACGCTGCCAGCGACTGGCAATTACACAAAGACACAACATAAGAAGAAAAATTAAACATTTGATTTGGAAAGAGGGACTTCCCCTGACACTAAAATGGATTCATACTTAAAACAAAAATTCAACTTATAGAATGCACTTTTCCACATTTTTATTGGCACGTGACAATATTTTTATTCGAGTTATAGAAGTTCGAGTTATTGAAGTTTGACTGTATTTTGTAGATTACCTTTTATTTAATTAATTAATTTAATTTTTTTGAGCGCTTTATTTAACAATTAGTGTCCTGTTTAACGTTTAAATGAGTTATTATAATTTAAAATCTTCAAATATAGGTTTGTAAATTGAAAATCTATAATCGATGGAACAGTGTTGTAACATGTGAGACTATTAGAACACTTTGTATATTTCCAAGTAAACATTATCGATGATTGGGGAACATGTAGCCAGAATGGGAATTTACTGTCGTACTGCGGCACTACTGCCAATAGAAGCAATCAAATTATCTGTTAGTAGTGAGGGAGTGGAAGTGACACTTACATTAAACAACCAATCAACTTGTTTTAAGTAATTTAACAAACATCAATTGATAAAAATGTAATAAATTAATAATTAATACTTTTTCAAGTGCACTCCACTGCAAAATAAAACAACTTTATTTGTATTAACTTAAATAATATCTCAAGTGATTAAGCATCAGAAATAAAATTATTTGAAATAAATGTTGACTTAATTAGAGAGAAATTAGAGAGGATTGATTTTGATTTAAATGAATTTCTCTAAATGCTATACGAAAAGAATTCTGTTGATTTTATAGAAATAAACGAACGTAAAAATAAACTTAAAAAAAATATTTTGTTGTTTTTCTACTCCAACTCTAAATATTATATTAAAATTTATAATATTTTTTTAATGCAAACATTGAAAATTATATGGAAAATGAATATCTCGAAAGCAAAGTGCATTAGTTCTTTGTTTATATTATCAGATTAAAATTTTTAGTTATCAATAATATCAAAATTAAATCGTAAATATTTTTATATATTTTTGGATTGCTATAGAAGATATAGATAGAGATATTCAGTATAACTCAACTGTAATTGTTGCGACAGTAAGCAGTTAAGAAAAATACACTGAATAAATACACTGTATCAAAAGCTACAAAGACTTTCGTTCTGATTTCCCGAATAATATTCATAATTTTAATTTCCGGTATACATGTTTTTTTTATGAGTTAGTTTTTAAATTTGAAATTGTGTTCTAAATATTGATTTTTTACATATATTACATATATATGTAAAACAGAATAGGAAGCAATAATGCAAATGCAACAATTATGCACACAATAAACAAAAACATATTTGCAACAATAACGCTGTTGTCTTGTTCACTATAGAAGTAAACATTCTGAGTTATGAATACCACTTCGAATATTTATTTTAAGTGTTATTTGTTCATAAATGTATCTATTTTTTTCTTAATTTATTCTAAAAAAAATAAAGGCACGTTTTTTTTTTAGCTAAGAAAATTTGTTAGCAAATAAATTTGATAAAATTGGCTAAAATTGATCCATAAAGCACAGCAATTTTTATTTGTTATTTTTTCAGATGACTTTAAGACATTGTAAACTTAAATTTGAGTTTATTTTCAATATTTAAAATTTTAATTCGTACAGCTCATTTTCTTAATGTCTTGTTTTAGATTAAAAATATTTATACACAAATTTGTTGTGAAAATATATTCCATTTTGAGTTTCGATATTTTGCTTTTTTGGTGTTGTTAGCTGGCACTTATTTTCAGTTTTTCGGCTTTTTGGTGGTGTTAGCTGACACTTTTATTTTTGTTTATATTATATAATATCAGAAGTATAATACACAGCACTAATATTTTCAATACATAATTTAAATATTTTAATAAATTTTATTGGAAATCTTTAACATATTTTCATTAATTTTATTATTTTCATTTTTTACATATGTATTTAGTTTTTATTTTGGTGATTTTACCTGTTGCACTTTGCTAAAATATCAAGAAATTTTTCCTGATATTATATGACACTTAAAAAGTAATAAAGAAATATTCAATAATTTCTAAAATTTATGGCACACTTCACTTGAACTCGTTCAACGGTTGAGTAGCTCTAAAGACTATATTATTAAACGCCGCCACACTTAGTCAATGCAATAAAAGTTATCAATCAATTTATTAACACTTGAATGTTTATTAAATCGATATTTAATAATTTTAACCTTTTCGCGGCGATCGTCAAACCGCAACTGATCGTTGACTGCGTGCTTTGCATGTAACTTGGCCCGAATCTAACTGAAATGGAAACTTATCATAGGACGATGCTTTAACTTGGCCGTGCCGCGAGCGCAAATTTAAAGACAGTTAGCAAGCGTTCGTTATTGTTTCTCGCTCACTTGTTCCCGCTGGTCGTAGTCTAGAACAGCTAAGAGTTAGTCAATGCCTTGCATTCTTACATTTTAGCCAAAATCGGTAACTTACCCGACAATGACTTGAACAATGACTTTATCTTTTGTTTGCATATTGTTTATTTATGTTAAATTTGTACCCAGTTGCAGTGCATCTTATCTACGCTGACTTGAATATCTTTTGTTGTTATTTATATTTTTTATCTTAAGCATTTTCGAATCTGGGTTATATGCAGTTTTATTATTAGCTATGTTTCTTAGGTGTTATACTGGTAGTGTCTTTACATCAATAAACCATTCAAACTTTTATTTTACATAATCTATTGCATTCCTGTCTAATGACTTTATTGCGTCTAGTTTTATTTGCATTGTATATTATTTAATAAAGTTTTGAAGTTTTTTTTTACACTAAATATAATTTCAAATTTTATGTATTTATGGAATAATTTTCGAAATAATTTGTTAAAGTAAAGAATTCATAGTAAAGTAAGTTTTATTGTACTTTTTATTGAAGCAACAGGGCTTACAGACCTACTCTAAATCCACAAGGGGGCACAATAGACCCGATGGTCGCAGTATCACATCCCTTAACAATAATAATAAAAAATTCACAAATAGAAAATGTAACACTGCAAATGAATTTTCCTTCTAAAATAAGTTAATATCAATGATCAATCATTTCGCAGATCGTGTATCAATTGCTTCAAATATATACATTTAAATAAATAAAACTCAAAGTACCAGGTAACAGCACTGTTAAAGTGAAAAAATAATAATAAATAGAAAATAAAAAGATCTTTAAACAACTTCGTGATAGGAAATATTAGGGAAATGGATGAAACACAAAATTAATGGATGAACAATCTAATGAATGTTTAAGAATTTATTAAATTCGGCAAACAATAAACAGAGTTGATAAAATTTCAAAAAGTGCAATTAACGAGTTGGAAGAGATCAGTAAGAAATATTTATTAAAAATGAAATACCAGAACTACATGCGTTTCGTTTAGGGAATACCAGAACTTGGCGACAATGGTTATTTTAATGTAAACAGATGTTTGATTATTTTTTTGAATTATTTGTAAAAAATGTTGTTACTCATAAAGAAAATTTTACAGCTATACAAGTTTTATTTAAGTTTTTAAGTCCAACTTAACCAACTTAACCAGAGATATTTCTATGATATTATAGTATTTCTTATATAGTTTAAGTTTACTTCGTATTATCCACAGTAAAAATATGAATGAAAACCAAAATAAGTAATTAAAATTAATTAATTGTTTCAAGTTTTATATGATTATTAACTGATGATTTCATAACCACCGTACTATTCTTGTATTTATCCAAACATTTTGTGTGAGCGCTGTGAGGTCTAATAAGGCGATCTAATGAGTAGTATTTTCTCATGTTATAGTTAAAGCAGGAAGAAACTTTTACGTTCTATAAATATTTGTTTTCAGTAGTTCAATGTATTTTAAGTGTTATCAGTGAGAATGATTAGGCTTCCTATTAAATTGACATATCGATAGATCAAAATATATTATTAACATTGTTATTAGAAATGCAGATTGTAGATTGTAGTATTGGAAGTCGATAGCTTTTAAATTTCGATTATTTGTTTATAAATTCAATTGAAGTAGAATCGACGCCAAGATTAGTTGATTACTACTTGTTGAACTGTTTGTTTTATGCCTGTAATAAAAGCATAATTATTGCCGAAATAAAAAGAAAATTCGAAGAAGTAATGATATGAGGCCTTATGGCCAATTTAATAAGTGAATAAGTGTGTATTATTATTAGTATTATATACCCTTCACACTAGTCTAAAAGCAATATGTTACTTTTATAATAGTATGCACAACAGAATAAGTAAAAATTATCTATGTGACTTATAAACACTTAAACTAGTTGAACAGCAAGGCTTTTTAATTGGCAAGTAGAAAAAATTAGAACGTGTTTACTAAAACTCCTTTAAAAAAGGAGTTTACAAAGCTATGTTGAAACTGGAAATCTATACATGATGATTTTATAAAATAGGTTTTAACATGATCCTTACGATTTATTCTCTTGACTTCCTTTTATATACAAATGAATATGGTTCAACCCAAATCCATTAGGTCTGTTGAATTCTATAACTGACTATTTGCAAATAACAACTCTGTATTGAAATTGCAATAAATTAAGCAGTTTGATTGAATTGCAATAAAAATTGCATTACTTTTGTCATAATTCATTAATGTCATTTATTACATAAAACGTACTATAAGTTAAAAACTATTATAATTATTTCACTTAAAACACATTTAATAAAATATCAAAAACTATTTCTCTTGCGTAGATGAGATGAATCTTTCTTATGTTATTTAACAACTGAGTTATTATTATTAAAGACCAACTCTGTAACCTGAATAGATTTATTGCACAAAATCAGGTTTTAGATAAGGGAGATGAAATTTCTCAAACTCTATTTGCGATTTAAAATTGATCAGACTAATTTAAATCCATTAACTATGATATATAACGTTCATTGAATGCAACGGGTAAAAACATCTGTAGTTTATTGCTAGGATCTATTTGCTTAAGATTTCCTTAAGAATTCTTGAAAGTTTTTTTTATTTCCTTAAATAAAATCATATCATTAATCTTTATTATGAAAAAGTTATAACAAGACTTTCAATTTTTATTATGTATGTTAGATGTAGGGTATTTGACTTCTTGTAAAGCTAAAGATAACTAATGCCACATTTTTTAGCAATATAAGGTTCTAGTATATAAGTATGGAAATAAAAGTACCTAATAGTTCCAGTTAAATTTACTTACCATCAAATTCTTTCTGTATCGAATGTGTAAATCTTTTCAAACTACTTGAGTTCAATAGTTCCTATTTTTGTACCATTATGAATTAGCGATCAGTTATATACGTAAATGATGGCAATAAATTTGTTTGTAAATTACTAAGCTTGTGGTCAATGTACAAGTACATGTGAGTAGATTACAGCCTTTTTACAAACATTTTTATCGAAGAAAACGGAAATCGAATTTAACGTGCAATTGATAAAATTAAGTGCGTCTATTGTTGCTGTAGAAGTTATCGTCTTGTCTGAGTGGTTCCATAAATATCACTTTTATATTGCCAAAATAAAGACGCTTTTGCATCTGATAAGTTTGTTTGGTATCTTATATATCGGTTTATTTATATTAGGTTCAGACTTTTTTTATAATAGGTTAAACGATAAGCTAACTATGCGTCAGACATGTGCTCGATGCAATAATGCGAATTTTAGGTTCAAGGTTTTCTAAATTCCTAGTAAATAAACAATAAAGTATTCTAAAAAAACTGCTTATTATAAGTATAAATATGTTTAAAATACGTAAGTAAAATAATTTAATTGCAAATGTATGTGCAAGATCTTTTACGTATGCACTCAATTTTTTCGTTCATAGTACGGCTACTATCTTAAGCGTTTTGTTTCCATATCTTTAATTTTTAAATATGTCTCCGATTATCCCAATTTTTAAAAAGCATGGTTGTAAACTTGTCCAAACATGAGCTGTTTAACGGCTAATTTTCCCTTAATTGCTAAAAATAATATAAGATTAATTTAAAATTTTTAAATATTCTGAGTATTTTTGTCTGCTTTGCAAAATATGATATTTCGGGGAAATAATTTTAAAATGTGGAAAAAAAGTTGTTGAAAGCCATTTCATTAGATAAGATGAAATGCTTACTAGAAAATTTACACTTTGGCAGTGTTTTTGCTGTGTATTATCTGTAGATTACAGTGTCGACGTGGTATCTAACCACTAACTTTCTATCTGAATACTGGCTTTTAAGTAATATTTTTAATAACTTTAATTAACTTTAAATTAAATACAAGAAATAATTTCAAGACTACTCTTGATGGTAATGCTCAAAACAGCTGTATGGTAAGCCAAAATTTTTGTTGTTGTGGTTCACTATTGTTCGAACCTCTCTACTGACGTTAAAATGCATTTAAATAAACTGTTAAGAAACTAATAATTATTTAAGAAGTTTGAACTAAAGTAAAGATTAAATTTATTCAAGTTTCTATTTAATGCAATTGATTTATAATGAATAGTTAATTGTAATGTATAATTACTGTAAGATATAAATTTCTCAGCATTTTTCATTAACATTTTTTTTTAACAGAGAACATTGAACTCTGCTAAATTTAAGCAAACTTGAAAGCAAATACTGTGTATCCAAAGCTTTTTTTCGAACAGAGAATTGTTTTTATTCTTGCATATTTTTAGGATTAATTTCTTTAGCTTATTGAGCTACACTAAGTGAATGAAAATCTACTATTATTTCAATATAAAGATTTGTAATTAAGTAGATTTTTTCATATAAGAAGATATGAATATATCCATGCTATCACTAATTTTAAGGTAAAAAAGTACTATACTGTTTGCAGTTTGTTAATCTTATCTTATAAAAAATAAGAACTTAATAGTGTATGTCTGGGGTAAAGTTCAGATAAAAATAATTTATTTATTTTAAATTATATTCAAATCAAAATATTTATAATTTTATTTAGGTATCACTATTTCTTTATTTATATCTTAGTCTGCAGTTTATCAAATTTATATATATATATATATATATATATATATATATATCAAATATCAATATCAATATATCAAATATATACTACATACGAGAAGTAATTTTAGAATGTTATTGATATTAGAAAAATAAGTATTAGAAAATCAATTTTTTATGTTTTTATTTAAATATTGTTTAGTATAATTTTTGGTGCATCCGTCTATATCGATACCCATCTTTATATGTATATTCTAGCGCATAATTTGAATCCAAAGATTAATTCAAGAGGATTTTTTATAAAA